GTGGGTTCCTTCTCACTGGCCTCGGGCTCATCAGCCTCAGAGAGTTCTTCATCGTCATCTGATTCTTGAACTTCTTCGTTCTCGCTTTCCTCATCTTCACCATTTTCCTTTTCTTTGGACGTTTCCCCCTCTGCCATCTCCATGTCGGCGTCATCGCTGTCATTGTCGATATAGCTGACTTCCGCCTTCGCGGTGCCTCGGACGCTGCGGCGGCGAGAGGAAGCAGGCGTGTCGCCTCCAGCCCCTCCGTCAGAAGACCAGCCGTCGTCGTTCTTCGATTTCCGTTTCGGCTTGGAAGCTGCGCTGATCGATGATGTGGATTTGCGGGCGGGACGAGAAGACTTTTCCTTCCGTGCCTTTTTGGCCAGAGAGGATTTGCCGTTCGCATCAAGAGACTCGGGCTTTCGCTTTTTGCTTGATCCGCCTTGCGAACCGTTGGTAGAGTGACTCCTAGGCTTCATTGCCATTCGGACGACGCGATCTAGCAAATCATCCAACTCATCTGGAAGGAAGTTCTTATCGGCGACGTCTTGGGCTTCGCGGTGACTACTCATGGAGGTGAAGAGGGAGCTGGGGACGCCCATCTTTCCAGGGTAGGTTTGCAAGATGTTGGTTGCACCGGCGGCACCGCCAAACTTGTGCTGTTGGGAGTAGACATCTGCGAACCGGCGAATAGTTGCTTGCGCCAGATCAGATAGAGTGTGGAGACGGGTGGAGATTTCGTCTGATTTGGTAATGCCATCGCGGAATTGCTTGACACGCTGTGCGACGTGGAAAATCAATGACATGTTGTGTTCATTGGCAACTGCGGAGAGGTAGAAAAGGATGTATTGAGAGAAGTCGGTCAGGTCGCCGAGTTTCGTTGTCTCATCTAGATCCTCAGACGGGTAATCAGGGTGGTAGGCAAGCAATGACAGGAGACGCGAAAAGATCAATTCCATGACCATAGTCTGTTCCGTCCGTTTCCCACTGGCTTGCGCTTGCTGGGCGAAGTATGCCGCTCGGGACCGTAGCCATGTAAGCGTGCTCTCTTTCAGACTATGAACAGGTTCGAAAGCAAGCAAACAGGGGACAATGTACCATCGGTGGCTGAGATGTGACTTTTGCACGAGTTTCTTCTTCAAGTGGTTGATGAATCCACTTCGCACCTGCAAGAGTGGATCCTGGGCAACCAAAGCGACTGCGTTGAAATCGGCCGGCGTCAGCAGACCGTCGCAGACAGTACTGGAAGCACACAGCTTGAGCAAGGACTTGGCAGCGAGGAGGCGAAGGCGGGATTTTTGGCCTGCAGGGGTATCTTTCTTCTTAGAGATCTCGCCTTCACCGACTACCAATTTATTCAATGTTTCGTAGACAGGCTTTGCATGGGCACGGAAGTCAGCTTCATTGTCTGCTCCGTCCTTAGCCCGAAGGCGGTTGACAATGATTTTCAATGCCCATTCTTTAGCCTTGGTCTCATCATCAACTGTCTCTGACCAGTTATATTCAGATCCTGGTTCAGGTGTGCGATTGGTGAGCAGGATTTGGTTGATAGCAATCGAAATGATAGCATCGCTTTCTTCGTCTGCTTCTCTCGGTGCAAGAAGGTTCAGCTGCGACAGAGCAGCCAAGCGAGTGAGGAATCGATCAGATCCGTACGTCCACTTCTCAACGCACTTTTGCACCAAATCCTTCGCATACATCTCTTTTCGGTCAGCCGTGGCCATGAGAATTGAGACGGCATGTTTTGCAGAATGCGGCGATGAACTGTAAAGGGCGTAGTTGGCCAGAGCCTGGAAGAACTTGCGCTCTTTGGGGAGCTTGGCAGGAAGCTTTTTAGCGAAACCAGCACAAGCCTTCAAAATGTCTTCAGCGCTACCATCACCAGCCGAGGAAGCCTTGGGGGCTTGAGCCTCGAGGTCTTTGCACATTTCTTGGACCTGTGCTTCTAAGACTTCAGGATTTTGAGATGATATTTGCTTCAGCATCTCCTGTGCAGCATTGGCCAATCCGTTCTCATCTGTTCGGGACAAACTCATGATCGCCGGGATGTGGCTCCGGTTGAATATCAAAGACCCACAGCGATACACAAGAGGAGTCAACGTCTCCAGCAGGGGAGAGTTGTTTGCAGTCTGGGCCCGCCGCTGGAGTTCCTTCGTGGCCTTGACAACAGTGCGATAATCACTCACAGCAGCCATGGTGAAGCGAACAAGCTGATAGCTTCGTCGGTCATGCACCTTGGCGAACTTCCACAAGTCTGCCGATGCGCGTGAGGCATCTGGGAATGTTTTGGATAATGATTCAATGATCTTGGACAATTGTGTCTTAATCTGTTCTTCGTCCTTGTCGACGACACCGCCATTGTACTTCTCACAGGCCTCTAGGTAAAGTGTCACAGCCGATCTCATCGACAACTGACGGGCCAACATAACGAAAAAGACTCGTCTCGCCTTTTCATCCAATCCTCGGAGCAGGGTAAGAATTCGGCGAACGCGAATCTTGTCAACATCCGTCTCTGGCTCAGGTTCAGACGCCTGGCTATCCTTCTGCTTCTGTGATTGGTTCGAGTTGCCTCGAGTAAGTTTCGATTTGATAGGGGGATAGGAAAGCGGCAGAAGCGTCTCAAACAAAACGCGGTCGATCAGAATATGGATTTCTTGATCATTGGTGTAGAATGCATCAAATATCTTGGATGGTGCATCTTTGAGAAGGGATACGACAGGCTCCGTATTTTGCTCGATGTCACCAGCAGCCACCGCCCACATGCGAGCCAGAATCTTCATGGCGTGTTCACGCACATGCGGCTTGCGATCCTTCACTCGCTCGGCAAGAATGGCAAGAACCGAGTCTGGCGATGAACAGCCACCATCCACACTTAGCTTGTGGACAATTTGGGACAGCCCAAATTGCCCGACAGTATCAACTGCAGCCACACGGACCTTCTCATCAACGTCGCGGAGCATGGATGCCAGATTTCTGACAAGACTGTGTTCTTCGCTTTCGTGTAGGCCAGAGCCCCCAGCTGAAGTTAGAAGGATTCGCCCCACAACTGTGACCCAGGCAGCACGGACCGATGGTGTCTTGTCGAGACGACGGCTCAAGAAGGCTTCATAGGCGGAGCTGTGAACCTGAGAGAAAGGCTTGGGGGATACGGGAGTTAACAAAATATTGGGTTGGGGGATGGTCTTGTCATAATCCACCAGTGAGACTGGCGGGTAGGTTGTCGGGTCCATAGGAGGAGGGGGTGGGGGACCTGCAACACCGATTCCGGAGGCGAGATCTCCGATCGTCTGGGTCGCCAATAAACGTAGGGCCACTGATTCTGCAGAAAGCTCTGCTTCAATCTGTGGAATAACATTCTGCAGGACCTCTGGACAAGCACGCCAAAGCTCCCGGATCAGCCGGTGTGCCTTGCTCAATTCCTTGATATCCTCTCCCTCCTCGTCCGAGTCGTCGAGATTGGGTTTCCGGGCATGCTTGGAGCCATTCGTCTGAGCAGCTGGCACAGATGCATCGATGATAACATTGTTAAAGTACTGGCTGATGTGACTGGTCATTCGTTCCGGGCAGGCCTGGCAGATAGCCTTGGCCATGTTATATGCGGCCGGATAGTCCTTCAGGAGAAGGGTGTCCTGCTTGGCGTCAAGCGGCGCATCTGGTCGCTTTCCTTTCTTGTTGGAGTTGTCCATCACTCGCGGGTCGACTCGGAGGAATTGGGCGACGATAATGTCCACCACCTCGGGGGCCAGGACGAGCGATTCATCAATCACGGTGACAAGTACTCGGGTCATATCAAACTCGACATTCTTAGCTACTTCCTCACCGGTGGATGCTTTCGAAGAACCCGAAACGATGTCGAAGCAGCCCGTGAACAGCGGGACGATGAGCGAGTCCGGGTGATCAAGATCGACCATCAGAACCACACTCTTCACCTCGGCGAGAGATCCCAGGACGTAGATATGCTGGGCATTATAGGCGTTGGATGGGTCGGCCAAAGCGGGGATAATCGATGACACGATACATGTGAATATATCCTAATTCGTTCTCAGTCAGCACATTCTTCGATCGCACGGACAAAAACACATAGTCTGTGTATCTTCAATTGCCGCACCTTCAATTGATTGCGCGTAAAAGGCGCGTCTGGTGCGCATAGTCGCAACACATCAACGATACAGCACGTGGCCCATGCTCTAACACCCTTATCCTTGTGGGCAAGCAAGTTCCCACTGGCAAGTTCCTGAGACACCTTCCTTAGCGATTCTTTATCAATTTCCTCCTGGTCGAGTTTGCGGAGTTCCTGCGCGAGAGTTTGGAGACGTTCGAGGAGATCCGCGATGGGGATGGCGGAGCGCCCCACGCGCCATGAGAGCGGCTGGTTGAATGACAGACTGCGAAGCCCCGAGTCTTCCTCCACCTCGGGAGGACCTGGGCGAGAGCGCGAAGGCATCGTGGATGGTCGCAGTTCTCACATGGACTGGGAAGGTGGAGAGTTTCAACACGGGAGTTTGGGTGGAGGTTGACCGCCCAGGACGCGTCGCACGGGACCGTGTCCTGCCCTACAAAGTTGGTGCTACAGGTGTCATACGGTATATTTGGAGTTCATTTATTTACTTTGAAATAAATGAGTTCATGTATTGGATCTAAAAGATTGATACTATATCCATGTTTATATTCATACTACTATCTGGGGCCCAGCTTTCATTTGTTTATCTCAACTTGGAAGTCTTGTTTCAGGGAAGATAAGTCCCCCTCCGTGTGATAGAACTTGAAATGGCATTTCTATCCAAATAAATTGCTACATTAAGTATATAGAGGCCCAATTCTAGAGATATTAATAGTATTGATTAAAATATGCCTGTGGCATACATAAGCTTTTGTCATAGAACAACGAAGTAGGTCTTTTGTAACAAAAGCGACACAACTTCACACATCTGCCATGATAACAATGCATGTAAAAAGCAAAAGGCCAATGTAATCTATGTAACTATTGCGTGCCTGAAAATGAGAGACAGATGGATCACCTAGAACTTGGGACTGAACTTGCTCATAGCGCGAATTCTGGAGCCATAGATAAAGAACAACAGCGGAATGGGGATCATAGCCAGAGTAATGAAACCCAAAACACTAGATGCCCAAGGTACACCGAGGTTTCGGTACATTTGTGTAGCGAAAAGCGGGAACGCACCACCCACAATTGAACGGATGAGAGTATTTGCCGCGATGGCGGAGTTGGCGAACATCATGTACACGTCAATGATGTAGTTGAGACCCTGCATGAAGATAACCAGGATTCCCAGACCGATAGGCACACCAGCAATGGCTTGCGGCACCCAGGAGATATTTGGGCTTGAAGTCCAGCCAAACCAAAACAGACCGATTGGCAACAACACGGAGGCAATCATCATTGGCACGAGGCGCTCTTCGGGAACGACCTTGCCATGCTTTGCAAGTTTGCGTGCAAAACGAGTCTTTGTGTTGAATATGATGAGACAGATGCCAAGGACGACACCGAGGAGTATGCCGATGAATGGAAGGGCAGCTACGCCTTCGTGGGTCCAACCGCGAACTTCACCAAAGGAAATCGGGTAGGCTTCGAAGAAGAGGTAAAGGATTCCGTAAATGAGGGCGAGGTAGAGGGTGATGGCGAGCAGGATCGGCTCTTGCACAAGCATCTGAAGGGGTCGGAAGAGGTACTTGGTAACGATGTCTGACATTGTAGGCTTGTGTTCATCCAAGAAGGAATGGAGGGCCCAGTTCTTGGTTTCAGTACGAAGACGGGCAGCTCTCTTTTGCAAGATGACTGGGCCGTAGGTCTCGGGAACAACGAAGAGAGCAATGATACCGAAGAAAGCGGATGCAATTAGGGTGATCCATGCAGTCCAGCGCCAGCCAAGGTTTGAATCTGTGATGAAACCACCGCTGAAGAATATTAGTTTCTGGATAGTGTTTTGAGGGATGTCTTTCAAGGGTATTTTGAAGAGCCGATAAGAGTACTCACACAATTGGGCCAAGAATAGGTCCTAGGAAAGTAGCTCCGCTGAAGAGAGCGATAGCCACTGCGCGGTCCACGGGGTTCCAAATATCAGCCATCGCACCGGCAACGACGGCCAAAGGAGAGCAGCCAAAGACACCGATGAGAAATCGGCAGACAAGAATAGTTTCGAGGTTCTGGGCGACGGCCACGGGGATCTGGAAGATTGCGAAGATGGCGTAGCCTGAGAACAGCGGGATGCGACGACCGTATAGCTCACTCAGCGGTGCCCAGCACAGAGGGCCTAGAGCGAAACCAAAAACAACCAGACTAGTACCGAGAACCATTACTTCAGCTGACACATTGAACTCCTTTGCAGTTACCAGAGTCGCAGTCGAAAAGACGCTGGATGCAAAGGTTATCCACACTGTCATGGAGGACATAGTCAATGTGATGATCCATTTGCGCAGGTTACTGTAGTTCTGGGGGTTCTCGGGGTCATCTTTGCCATCCCAGTCGACAAGATTGGGATCCTTGTTGGAGTCATCGGGCTTTTTTGAGGTGTCGACCGCATTCTCGGCATCTTTTTCGCTCTTATCGTGAACAGTGTTGGTGACGCCTGCGTCGATGGAACCGTGTTCCCTACTGAGGCGAGGTGTACTTGTACTTGAGTCAAATGTTTGGGGACTCATTGTGACAAATACCTACGTAAGTAAGTGTGTAAGACTGCGCAGGTGTATGAGAGAAAACCATATTGGGAAAGAACATGTCGAGGCGGGAGACTATATGGCCGCCAGGACCGCAATATACCGACATGCTTTTCTCCTTTTGTCCAATACCCCGAGCTAGACCTCAAAGCTTGGTAACGAAAAATTGGCGTAGAGACCCAGCTCATTCGCCAGATGTAATTTCGGAAGTTCGCTCCTCCGCTATGCCGGTGCACTCAATTTCCGAGATGCGATTCCTAAACTAAATGTACCAGTCATCCAAGGTGGCGTGCTAGCTCTACGTCGGGCCAATGAGAGCCTTCAGAGCCTTCTTTTTATATGCACCTGATCAACCTCCATATGTATGTCCATGTGGCGACGGGGACATCGGGACGCCGAAGTATCAGTAATCAGAAAAAAAAAAAAAAGAAACAAAAGGAACTTCATGAAAAGCAATCATTCAAAGCACGTATCTCCAATGTTCGCTATGTTCGCTATGTTCGCTCTCGGCCCTTAACCAAGCACCGATAAAAGTGGAGATCTCGGGCCTAATCTCGGGCCTGAGGCCGAGGTAAAGTTCCGAGCCAAAATTTGTAGATCAGATGGACATGGAGACATGTATATTCTATTTGAGAGTGATAGCACAAGTACCTATACAAGCTAGATGATCAAGATTTGCAATATTGGGAGCAGATTGTGCATAGTAGATACGATAAACACTACAAGAACACCGATGAACGTAGAGATTTCTCCATCTGTATTGGCTATTATGGCACATTGTATGTGGGCAAAAACAGGAAGAAACGAAAAGAAAAGCCCATGAAAGCCCAGCAGGCCCGCATCTCCACGCAAAACGATCTATTCATAAGCGAATCCGAGCGCAGAAACCCGGGCATGGCTGAACCAAGGAAAACAAAGTCATATCACCTCGAAGCAAAAGAAGCGTTTAATCGTAGAGGCTGTCGTCATTGCCGGCTTCGCCGAAGGTATCGTTCTCCTGGACTTCGCCAGCAGATGGGAAGCGGAAGAAGCTGCCGCCTCCAGTGTTCTTCAGGCTCTGGGCGAAGGCCTCGTAGCGGCGGATCTCGACGTCGCTGACAGAGCGGCGGGCGGACTTCATGGCCTCCTCGAAGTGAGCGCGAGTGAGCTCGGGCACGGGGTCTTCCGCTTCCTCATCCTCATCGTCCATTGTGATATCCTCACCGGCAGCCTCGCGCTCCTTTTGGCGGTCGATGTCGAGGGAGATAGCCTGCTTGATGGCGAGCTTGACGGCACGCTGTGTCACGAAGCCGAGATCGGCACCGGAGAAGCCGTGGGTCTTGCTGGCAATGAAAGCAATGTCGACGTCACCGGCGACAGGAGTCTTGCGAAGCTGGGCCTTGAGGATACCCTCACGAGATTCCTGGTCGGGAAGGGGAACGTAGACCAGGGTGTCAAGACGACCAGGACGGACCAGAGCGGCATCGAGCTGCTCGGGACGGTTGGTAGCACCAATGACGAAGACGTTCTTCTTGGAGGTCATACCGTCCATCTCTGTTAGGGTATTAGTGGATATTCGGAGTAGAAAAAGAAAAAGAAATGTCACAGCGGAAACTTACCAGTAAGAAGCTGGTTAACAACACGGTCGGAGGCACCACCGGCGTCACCGACGGAGCCACCACGAGACTTGGCGATGGAGTCCAGTTCGTCAAGGAAGACGACACAAGGAGCAGCAGCACGGGCCTTGTCGAAGATGTCACGGATGTTGCTCTCCGACTCACCGAACCACATGCTCAGGAGCTCAGGGCCCTTGACGGAGATGAAGTTGGCAGCACACTCGTTGGCAACAGCCTTCGCCAACATGGTCTTACCAGTACCAGGAGGACCATAGAACAGCACACCGCGAGAAGGCGAGAGACCGAACTTCTGGAACATCTCGGGGTGGTCCACGGGGTATTGAACACTCTCGACAAGCTCGCGCTTGACCTCCTCGAGACCACCAATGTCGTCCCAGCGAACGTTGGGAACTTCGACCACAGCAACCTCGCGGAGGGCGGAGGGGTTGGAGACACCGAGGGCGAAACGGAAGTTCTCCATGGTGACACCGAGAGCCTCAAGAACCTCGGCATCGATGGTGTCCTCATCGAGATCAATGAGATCCATCTTCTCACGAATCTGTTGCATAGCAGCCTCAGAGCAGAGGGAAGCAAGATCAGAGCCGACGTAACCGTGGGTCTCGGCGGCAATGGTCTCGAGGTCGACATCCTCACCAAGCTTCATGTTCTTGGTGTGGATCTGCATAATCTCAAGACGGCCAGTTGGGTCGGGAATACCGATGTCAACCTCACGATCGAAGCGGCCGAAACGACGAAGAGCAGGATCAATGGAGTTGGGACGGTTGGTAGCGGCCATGACCACAACATTGGAACGGGCCTTCATGCCGTCCATGAGAGTGAGCAGCTGGGAAACGACACGGCGCTCGACCTCACCGTTGGTCTTATCACGCTTGGGGGCAATAGAGTCGATCTCATCGATGAAGATAATAGCGGGGGAGTTCTTCTCGGCCTCCTCGAAGGCCTTGCGCAGGTTTGACTCGGATTCACCAGCCATTTTCGACATGATCTCGGGACCGTTGATCAAGAAGAAGAAAGCACCAGTCTCGTTGGCAACAGCACGAGCCATCAAGGTCTTACCGGTACCGGGAGGACCGTACATGAGGATACCACGAGGCGGCTTAATACCAATGGACTTGAAGAGCTGGGGATGACGGAGAGGCAACTCGACCAATTCACGGATCTGAGCCATCTGCTTGCGGCATCCACCAATATCATCGTAGCCAACCTCGTTGAGGTTGCCCTCCTCATCCTCTCGTTGGATGGGCTCACCCTCGCAGTGAATAATTGTGTCCTGGGCAACAATGCCGTATTCGGGAGGGTCGACCTCCACAACCTTAAATTCGATCTGTCTCATACCACCTCGTACTGTGAACAGGTCACCCTGTCGGACTGGTCGGTAGGCCTCGCGGAAGTAGGGAGCAAGGTAGACATCGAAGAGAGAGCCAGTCAGGCCCTCAATGGTATCAGCGATGGGAAGGACAGCAATGCGCTTGGCCTAAATCACGAAGATAGAATTAGCCAATAAGTCATGGTAAAATGACGTGGAAATGCCCAACTTACATATTTGATATCGGGACAAGGGTGCACAGTGATCATGTCGCCGTGCTTGACACGAAGGTTGTGACGCACAACACGGTTGATGCGGGCGCTACCATCATCGAGATCGTCATCGGCCAGGACGATCAGCACAGTGTCCTTGCGCTTCTTGCCCTTGACGAGAACGGTATCACCACGGAAAAGCTGGAGGGTCTCCATGGTGTTGTTCGAGAGGGCAATCACCGAGTTATCATCGTTAACGGCATCGGTCACACTGCATTAAAACTGTTAGCTCCTTGCTCCCAAGACAAATATCTCTTATCAGCACTCACATCAAAGAGTTGGGCTTCTTCTTCTTTTTCAAGATAGCAGTGGAGGTATCGAGCTCCTGTATTTTTTTTCGTCAGTTCTGAAGCCTTTGTGAGCTGTCCTGCAGCCATGCTTACCTCCTTCTTCTCAGCACCAGAGCCGTCCCTGCAGTCCAGTTAGCATACTCGATAATCAAAAGTGTTCGAATTAAACGTACTTCAGGTGGACTCTCTTCTTGTCGTGCGTGTGATCCGGCTCGGCAGACATGATGGCCGTAAATGAGGTTGTGAGGTTGATGGAAGCAAGCTTGAGTGATCAAAGGTGTCCAGTGCCCAGAAACAGGCGGAGCGAGACGCGGATTTAAAAGGAACGAGAAATGAGTACAGAAAATGAAAAGGAACCGATAGATCAGAATCAGAGAACGAATCCGATTGCGGCAAAGTGGAGATAGAGGTAGGTAACAGGAATGATGATGTTGAGCTTCCCAGGTACCTCTCTGCTCGACTGATGATGATGACTTAAGCCTGTCGCTTATGTCATCGCCCTGTCCGCCACAACGAAGCGCATGGAACTCAGTCGATGGGGAGCCTTGATGCCTGGGGCAACGACCGATAGTTGCTACAGTGAATATGGTTACCAAGGTCCTTACAATAATACATTCAGCAGATGTGGAAATGATTATGATTCAAATTAGAACTGCAGCTCTAAATGGCAAATAGAAAGGACATGGTGCACTTCCCTCAAAATTGATGAATTTTTATCTCTAAGTGGCTGGACTAAGGCAAGGAGCTCACCAAGCAATCGAGTCCATACTTGCCACCACAGATGCAGTGCCGGACACTGTCGAGTCCCAAGGCCTCGGGTAGAGACTTGTTTGGCCTGTGCAAACGTTCAAAGGACTGAGAGATGTCATACACCCAAAAGTAATGATATCTTCAGCTGTAGATTCGACAAAGGCTTGGATCGAAAGAAACGCCACAACTACTATAGCCATCGGAGCGAATGTATCAAGGCAGGTTTATATTTCAAAAAGCTGGTGTAGACCCGAAAAATGCAAAGCCAATAGCAAACCACGTGCGCTCTCAACATCAGGTATATGTGCAAGTAAGGGTAGATTTGTACAAATAAGAAACGAAGAAAAAAGGCCGAGGACAACAAGCATTCAAAAATCTACGCTTTGACAGACGCGGTTCCAGCCCAGCAGTCATGGAGACTCCAAGCTCCGGCGCAGAAGCTGATAAGCCCAGTCAGGCTAGCGGGTATACCGATGCCTTTCTCGACAGACCAGTGCAGACACAAGGGTGCCCAGAAGGTGTTGTTCACCAAGCTCTTTCGCCAAGCCCGGATCTCCAAACGTAGTGCCTCGCTATCCTCGGCCTTGGTCTCCTTAGTCTCGACCGTGCCGGCAGCCGCGCGCTGTGCAGCCAACCGCTGTCTGCGCAGCACGCTCTGGCGCCAGAGCACGAAGAACTGGAAGAAGATGTGCCCGAACCATCCACGAGTACTCCAAAGATCCCATTTGGCAAGGCCTCCGTATTTGTCCACGAAGCGCTTCGAGACAACCCCCTTGGAAGCAAGGTAGCCCACGTTCTCGAGAAGCTGATAGATCACGTTCGAGATGACCTGCAGGACGGTCAGGGCATGGATGATTGGGTCGGCTGGCGGTGATTTGAGGGTTTCAACTCCCCAGATCCACAAAGGGAGCAGCCCGAACAGACGCAAGTTATATCTCGTCTCCGATGCGAGGGTGGAAAGGGCCATGAATTTCGATTTTGATGACGCGGGAGTAACATTCTTGGTGGGTATACGACCCTTCAATCGTGCAAGGATACCCAGCCTTGTTTGTAATGCTATCCAGGGCGCTGATGCAGTGAGGTGGTGGAGTATTGAGGCGACATAGTTGACAGTCGCTAGTACTCGCTCTTGTCCGTTCGCCTCAGAGAGTAGTCTGCGGGAGCAATTAGCAACCTTTTGGGGCTGTTTCGCGTGCCGAGTTCTCGACCTAGCGTATCAGGATCGAAAGAGGCCTTACAGATTCAGTCGGCGGATTGTCACATCGGTTGTTGAGAAGGCGGCCAACAGTTGTCGCTTCGCGCATAAGCTGGCGGGTGCTTTCGCCTGGAAATCAGATGACTCTGGAGGGCATTCAGGGTCCGCCATTGTGTATGATGAACATGAGAAAGAGAGAAATAAAATGAAGTTGGGTGAAGCACGGAACCGAGGCTCGGAACTGAAGGCAGTTCAATCTAATCTCCGAGGGCTATCCCGCATTTTAGTCATCGCCCGATAACCGCTCCAGGGCTCCATCTATTTAATTTATATAACAGAGAATATCTCTTCTATATAAGTTATGTTAATTTATAGTATACTATATAAATACATTAAATCAGTATCACTCTGGAAATGTATCCTTTTCGATATCTTAATATAATTTACATGTTTCTATACATGTGGGTTATACATCATTCAATATCATTTACCTCGTACAAACAGAATCTACATATTTCTAGTTTACTTTTACTTGGAATCATGCTTGGAAAATCTTCATGTTTAGGGAAAAATCCCAACTCTCACATGTGGAATCCGAGTTCCACCTCTCACATGCGGCTCACCTCCACCTCTTCCTCACCTGCCGCCTCAATTCCACCTCACCTCACCTCCACCTCTTCCTCGCCCCGGCTTCACCACCCCCTTTTGAATGTAGCATGCCCAAGCGGGCAGGTGAAATATATATATGCGGGCGGCCCTCCCCCAGACCACACAATTGTCGGCACGCCGGCGGTACCCGGGGTACAGCTGGGTGGTATTCCACCACGGCCGCCCCCCGGCGTGCGCAGCCACCTGGTCTGGGGGAGTGATGATGATACAGGGCACAGGGCCCGAGGGTTCCTCATCAGACTCCGAGGATGTTTGCGGACTCAGAGATCTGGGGGCGAGGGGGGGCAAAGAGAGGTAGGAGGGCACCTCCGGAGTCATCAGAGTCATCGGATGCATCTGAAGCATCCAAATACTCAACGTGCTCAACTTGACTTCCAGAGGTGTGCCTCCACCTCTCATTGCCCACCCCGCCAACCCCGGGTAACACCTCCACTCTGTACCATCATCGCCGCCCGCATTCTCATCAGAAGATGACGAATCATCTTCATCCTCTTCCCTCCATGCCCCCCGGCCTGGGGGTTGCTGGACTCCGAAGAGTCGCCACGCCCGGGAAGTTTACCGGGGCCGCTTGCAGACCCGCCAGCAACCGCTCCAGTCTCTGGCGCACCCCCGGCGCCACCATCCTGCTCGTCATTCACACCGTCGAAGTCGCCATAGCGGCCGGCACGACGGCCAGCGTCTCCACCTCTCTCTGGTGTCACGTGCGGTTCCTGAGAAACCAAGTCGCTCGCTGAGCCGCTGACAAGGCTCGAGGCTCGCCGAAGGGTTCGACCGCGTGGTTCCTGAGAAGCCGAGTCGCTCACTCGGTCGCCGACAAGGCTCGAACATCGTCGAAGGGTTCGACCGCGTGGTTCCTGAGAAATCTGGGCGTTTGGTTGGCCGATGGGACCCCAAAGGGCAACCCACGGATCGTTGACAAGACTTGAAGCTCGGAGAAGTGTTCTGCCACGATGTACTTGAGAATGGTCCCTCGATGGGTGGTTGCTACCCTGAAGCACAGGAAATGCATCACTGAAAGGGCTTCCAGATCGTCGAAGAGATCTTCCGCGTCGTACTTGAGAGCCATGTTCGCTCGATGGGCCATCATCCGAATTCTCGGTGCCTTGAAGTTTATTGTTGTAGTCATCTGTGATGCTGTAGTATGGGATGTTACTACTGCGTGAGGGAACGGGGCTGACTGCACGGATTTGCATTCGTGGGGTTGGGAGCAGAAGGCCGTGGCCTTCGATCTCGTCATTCTGTGACGGGAATGTTTGGAACATGGTGTATCCATGTGCATTCTGAGGATCATGATTATCGACATTTGCTTGGCTGTTACTAGCCTCGTGACGGGCGAACACAACATTAAATTCCCTCATCACGGCAAGGTCAAGCTGTGCTCGTTGGGCTTCGGTATTCTGCAACGGAAAATCCATGGGTATGGCAGGTTCATATGAATACTGAGTATTGTCATGTTCGACATCTGCTTGGCTGCGCCTAGCCGCGCGATCGGCGAGCATAGTGTCAATTCGTGTGAGAAACTCGTGGTGAAGCTGTCTGCCTTCGATATCGTCATTCTGTGACGGGCAAGCTTGGGATATGGTCGATCCATGTTCGTGTTGAGAAACATGCTGTTCAATATCTGCTCGGTTGTTCCTGTCCTGGCGACTGGCAATCTCATTGTTGAGTTGTCTGTTCGCCCGATGTTGAAGGTATCTCTCTCTGTTCGTCCGATGTTGAAGGTATCTCTCAAGTAGACCACCGATATATTCACGCATCTGCGGTCTGAACCCAAGGCCACCATGGCGACCGGCCAGTTCAAAATACGGCATGACAGCATCAAGGCTGGATTGACAACTGTCCAATTCACGCATCTGCGGTCCGAACTCGAGGCCAACGTGGCGACCGGCGAGTTCTGAATTTCTGCGCCGGGGCAATGGGAAGTATTGTCGAATGATATTAAGATATCTTATGCGTCGAGGGCTTACGGGAGGTGGAGCATGTTGACCACTCTCGGCGGGAGGTGGCAGCACTGGGACTGAACTACCAGTAGGTCCCTCAGTGGTGACTGTTGTCGTCTCTTGAGGCTGCGACTCGGGCTCGAAGCTGGCACGCTGCCGTGCCTTCTTGAAGAAGCGGCGCAAAGACATGATTGATGTCACGTCGGGGTGTCTCGTCCCCGACAGAGATGGGAGTATTGCGAATGAGAAAGAAAGATTGGAAGGTAAGGTCTCACCGGCGTGTTGCCAGAAGGTCTACACGTGGGCAAGAGGCTTGGTACTTCGGCCGGCAACTGGTCGCCGGGAAATACGTCGCTATGTTTTGATGTGAACAGATGATGTCTCGCCGGTGTACTGCCAGAAGGCCTACACGTGGGCAAGAGGCTTGATACTTCGGCCGACAACCAGTCCGGAAACTGCAAGCCGGGGAAGTACGTTGCTGTGTTTGGTTGTGAGGAGACGATGTCTCGCCGGTGTGCAGCTGGAAGGCTTGCACACTGGAAAGATGTTGAATACTTTGGCCGGAGGCCAGAAAGATATGCTGATGTGCTTCAAATTGATGGAGCAGATCAACTCAAGTTGGAACAAGTAAGGGAAAGGATGAAAAGGGTGAAAGAAACAGGATGGGATGATGGGTTTGTTGACGCTCCCCCCAAGTGGGCTGTGGGTTTGATGACATCGTCGCTGACTCGTCGCTGAGTCGTCGTATTCGCCGGTTGATGATACCGTTGCCTACGACGATGATGATAAACGGCCAGCACACCCTCCAAGCTGAGCCGGGGCTCCGGTCCTTATGGGTCAAAAGCTTCCCCAGGAGTTTGAGTGCATGCTCTTGTCGGCATATACTGCCTGCAATGCATGAGCGCACCGATTATACTGACAGTTATCTTCCCTGTGGTCCTGTATATCTGATATTGGACTCGACTGGGCATGAAATTCTCCGGTTGCTACTGTTGCTGCTCGCTGGGCTATCTATGGATTCAGCTGGAGTTTCTTGTGCCAGACACTGTGATGAGAAAGCATGAAAAGCTTGAGTGGCACAGGTAAGTAGCTTGCTTCATGCCTACTTAAATATCGGGAGATTATGTTGTTAAATGCATACTGCAACAACCATGGTAGGGATACGGCGGTTCTCTTTTACTTTTTTGCCTCCAGGGCTGTTTTACGGGGAGAAGACGGGCTAATGAGGTAGATGTTGGATTGTCAGACTACTAGATTGATAGTACTATGTACATTACAAATGATCCAAAGAAGTCGCACATATCTATACATGTAATTCATTTAGTCTTCCCAGGTTGAGTAACCAAGTCAATCAAGCACACCAAAGATAGCGACAAGGTTGGAAGTCTAGAATTAAAGTGTCCCGTGACCATGAAAGCCCCAAATAACAAACAGAGTAAAACATCAAGATTGGAATGAATATTCTAATATATAAGGGGTAATAGAAAAGCAAAGCCCCCGGATTCAAACCAAAAGCCGTCGGAGGTTTCCGATGTGCTCCGCCAATGGATCTTGCCGGGGATCTGCCGATTGTTCGTATAGCCGTCTCCAGTTCCTGGATACATTCTTCCGACAAAATTTATTTTATAAGAATTCTCTTACTCCATACTCCATACTCCGTAATACAAACTTAGGAGACATTTTTGTGTAAGTTATTGCCTCGGTTGTCCTCCCATATAATCCCATCCCAGCCACCCTCGGGCCAACATAAACAAACAAGGACCCCCCGGGTCTCACCCCCCCCCAATCGTCTTCCCATTTCTCCACTTGGCACCTTATCATCCATATTAATCTCATTCAATTATTAACTTATTCTAGGAGCGTGTTTAAACTGAACCCGAACCCTCAACCTTGTCCTCCCCCTAAACCCCCCGATCACAATGTCCGTCAAGTTCCAAGAGGAGACCGTCCGCACCGTCACGGGCGGCGGCAAGTCTGAAGACCTCGTGCACCGTGTCGGTGAGCGATTGACTGGTGGAAAGACAGCCTCTGGATATCTCCAGGTATGCAGCACCCCTCCAATAATATCGAACCAACACTGATCCGGGGAATGGATCGACAGGCCTACCTCCTCCAGCTCCAGAAGAACCCGCTGCGCACCAAGATGCTCACCTCTGGTGTGCTCTCCGGTCTGCAGGAGCTGCTGGCTTCATGGATCGCCCACGATGTCGGCAAACACGGCCACTACTTCAGCTCGCGCATCCCCAAGATGTCGCTGTACGGAATGTTTATCAGCGCGCCCCTCGGCCACTTCCTCATTGGCATCTTGCAGAAGATCTTCGCCGGCCGCACAAGTCTCAAGGCCAAGATTCTTCAGATCCTCGTTAGCAATCTGATTGTACGTGTCCGATCACCTGACCACGTGTGACATTGGCTGATATCCCCGTTCTCCAGATCTCCCCTATCCAGAACAGCGTCTACTTGACCTCCATGGCTGTTATCGCTGGTGCGCGCACCATCCATCAGGTTCGCGCTACCGTTAAGGCTGGCTTCATGCCCGTCATGAAGGTCAGCTGGGTCACCTCCCCCTGTGCTTGGCCTTCGCTCAGAAGTTCCTCCCCGAGCACACCTGGGTGCCCTTCTTCAACATTGTCGGCTTCTTTATTGGAACCTATGTCAACACCCACACCAAGAAGAAGCGTCTCGAAGCTCTCCGGAAGGTATGATTCAATGGAATTTCGACAAATGCAACTTTGATTTCTAACTACATGGCAGCGTTACGACCAGCGCCGCGACCCTGGCTACGAGAAGCGCGACTTCCCTTAAATGGGATAAGTCCGCAATTGACTGCAAGCATGCCCGGACGCGTCAGAGACCTCTGTGTGTCGTTTCTTCTGGATCGTTTGCAGTCACTGATTTGTTTATTTCCTTTGTTTATTATTCTCCGGTGTTGATCTAAATCCATGTACACACCCCGCGTGCATCTTGACTGCCGCAGATATCTTCCCCCTGATGTTATCACTCAATTTCATGACGAATGGCTTTATATCTCTGTTTTATTTCAATTCCAACCTTTGATCGGTATTATATATATATATTTTCTTTTCGTGTGACCTAGTCACGCCATTGCTTCTACCCCTGCCAATCTACACTTCTATATACATGTGAGTCGGGATAGATAGAACCGAAAGAAATGCAACTCCCCTTGACATAAAACGGGCACATGTGGCCATTGTTAATTCCATTGTAACTGTAAAAGATCCGAGGCACAAGAAGGGTGCCAGTGGATAATGCAAGTGGGAAGGGAGACAGTAGACATGGATTGCAAGTAGCTAACCGGTCATGCCACACAAGTCATGCCCTAACCCACCCGGAAACGAGAAGAAACAAATCCCTCATATCCTTGGAACATCCACGAATAAATCGGAGAGAAGCCCTTTATTCAACCTCCATTTCCGATCCCTTCCCCCTCTTAGCCTGCACCCAAGCAACAAAGTCGTCCAGCGCACCAGGCCAAGCCCCATCAGGACTCCACCATCCCATCTCCTCGTCCTCTAGACTCTTACGCATAAACACCTCAATTTGCTCCCACAGATCCTTATTAACTGGCTTCTTCCCGCGTTCCTCAAGGAACTCAATCCACCAATCCAGCCATGGTGTCGTTTCCGTGTTCCACGCCACACCACCATGGTCGGTCGTGAAGAAAAGACGCCATTGCTCGGCGGCGATTTCGAATTGCAGATTGCGCTGTCCTTGCATTCGTGAGAGTGGGAATGCGTATCTGTAGACTCGTCGGAAGGTCTCTGGTTCTCGGGGGATTCTCTCCCGGAGGGATTTGGCATACGCTTGCATTTTTGGCATAGTGTCACAGCTTGTGGGTTGTTAGATTGGATGGATGTGATATGGAAGATGTTTTGAGTCTAGCTTGAAGGTGTTTTCATTCCGCGTTGACGTTGCACTTACAGGGCTTTCAGCCATCCTTCCATCCATCCTTCACGGGTGAACTCGCCCATCGATGGTGATTGGAGTAGCTCAGCGATGGCTAGGCAGGTTACTTCATCGAGCTCGACTTTCAAATCGCCGAGGAAATCTATTGCTCGTGAGATACCGATGGTATCTGGGCTGTCGACTGGATCATCTGGGTAGATGTGAGTATTCCGGTATCAAAATCACTAGTCAAGAGTGGGCAAGTACCTCGGTAGCTTTCGAAGATCTTTGTAAGTTCTGAGGTTATAGTTGCAGAGGTGCCAGATGCGACTGCGAAGAATCTATTTCAACGACAATTTCAGCTTCGGGGTGCTTCGAAGGTGGTTCATGTATGATTTTGCGGATGCGATATGGTTAGGCAGGGAATGGCAGAACTTCTTTTTCATCTTCTTCGCGCGAGGCATTTCGGACGATGAACGGTGTAGTGAGAGATCGCGATTTCCTCCAAGTGAGACTTCGATAAGTCCTGTAAAGAGAAGAACAGATATCGGAGCTGTGAGCTCTATCTATCTGCTGGCATCTTGAACCCAAAACCACATGTCCAGGTAGAGGTTGGAGACAAATTGAAGAGAGAACAAAAAGACGTAGAAGTTTGGGACAACTGTGATGACAAGCACTTACGCGTCGAGCGCTGGAGGTAAACTCCAACCACATGCTTTTAGAAACTATAGTAGAAAGTTAGTCTTTAGATCCACGTGATCGGACGGAAGCACCTTCAGATATTCAAATGGACCACGCAGGGGAGAACATGTCCGGAAATCATATAAGTCACTTACTTTAGTAGCAACAGACTCTTTTGTCCGTGTACAGCTGACGAACTCAGCGATTTGGTGTTTCTGGGTGGTCGTGTAGGGTGGCATGGTGGGGGTTGGCAATATTTGTGCCCACTGCGCGGGGAGAAACGCGATAAGTGGTGGAAACACACTAGGGGTTTGAGAGAAATTGGTTTACAGTGCTGGTGTGAGGAGAATTGTCTTTGGCTTGGAGGATACAAGAAACAGCAGGGCTATGAGGTCTGTAGTGAGTTATCGTCCCGCGCTTTTCCAAGGTTGGATGGATCTGATGGCATTATGCTGACTAATCATATATCCCAAAAAGTCCTATATCAACTACAACATCTAGGGCTGGCCTATACATCCATGAATAGACTTGGCATGAAGTATAAATTCTATTACGTTGGACATTGATTTGAGTGTATTCAGAGTATGTATTTTCATATAGTAACCATTACAGAAAAGTTGTTGGTCAACATTTGCCATCAATTCATCACATTGGAAACAATGAGCACAGGATTCGATGGTAAAAAGTACAGCCAACTTTTGTAAGATCAAATAGATCAGGTAAAACTCCCAAACGCCTTTTGCGGGGTGCAAAAATGTAAGATTCGGTGTCATGTCGAATTTGCTTAGGTTGTGAACAGGGTATCCTCCTAATATAGATGTTAGCACTTTGATCCTAGAAACTTTGTAAATAGACCGAACTCACCTCTCTAAGGTACTCGCCTGAGTCTGCCTGTTTGTTTGTGTTAGCCAATGTGAGTAAAAATCTAGAGCTAGGTCTCCACCTACCTGACGATGGACCGCGATACTGGTAGGATCCAATTTTGCGATCTGCGAGGATGATCTTGCTGTAACTCCGAATCCCAGCGGTACGTCATTTGAATCCAAGATGATAACGCCTGCGTTTTCAGGGCAATCTTCGCTGGAGGGGTGTTAGTATAGTGAAGGGACAGTCATTGAAAGGATCACAAACCTGAATCTAGCCACGTGGGCTTTCAAAACCGAACCGCCATAGAGCAGAGGCTAAAACTTGTTAGCAATGAAATTACATCACATCGCAAGTCGGAATAAGCTTACCATAACTCCGTTTGCTTTGATCCAGACCTTGTACCGGGCATGTTGCGCCAGGAGATCGAGGGCTGTCAGGTTGATGCGGAACTTGCCAGTCTACCAGTATATTAGCACCACTGATCAGAATAACAGAAGAACAGCATAGTGGCTCACTTTGGTCATTTTACCGACCATAATTCCGCAGCTGAGCAACGCTGGAACTTGTTAGCATTGTACATCACGACGAAGCCGAACAAAAGCTTACCCTCGCGAGGAAATGAAACGCTCAGGTTGGCAAGCTCCTTTCTCATATAGTAGACTCGGGATCCTTGCAAACGGAAGACACTCTGGGTTCCATCTTCGGCCGGGGTAATAAGAGCATTGAGACTGCGGCCGGTATAGGCAGCCAGCTTCGTGAAGATCGTGCGTGTCTCTTCCTAAAAGAGGCATGAGTTAGTCAAAGAAGTCAATGGTCATTGCAATAGTACGTACTTCTGTGAGGGATCTCATATTGTCGGATATGAAGCTGAAGATATGGCAAAAAGGTTGACTTAGCGGCAAGCTTGTATTGTCGGGAGTGAGGAACAAGAAAAAAAACCAAAGTCGGGCAATATTTCACCGCCCAGAAGCGGACCTGAAATTTATAGCGACGGAACGGACATGAAGAGCCAATCAGAGCAGTTATTCACTTTCCGCCTAGAATTTTCGGGACCGCCTTTTCACTCCAAAGATCTTTTTACTATTCTCCGCAGATTTCACCGTTAACCCCCCCCAATCTCCAATTACAAAATGGCGCGTGGTCCAGAAGTGAAGCGGAGGCGATTGAGTCCTCCAGTGGATGGTGAGGACTCCTCATCGCGCTCAAAATCCGGCCAACAGTGGGATGTTGAGCAAGACTACGAATGCCGCCCTCGCAAAAACACCAAAAAAGCCGGCGAGAACGCACGATTGCCAATCAAAACCGCTGAAGGCTTCGTCCAGGCTGAAGCACAGTATCAAGACCAGGGCGAGGAAACCGACAGCTTCTTGGGTACCGATGATGACGAGGAGGATGGCTCTGGAGGTGAGGAGGACGGGGAAGAATCCGAGGAAGAAGCACCCAAGATTCCGGTCAAGCAACAAATCATGCAGGCAAAGGAAGACCTAGCGAAGATGGCAACCCTGATCAACGAGGATCCCGAGGAGCACATTTCTCTGTTCAAGACAATGGCCGAGATGGTGTCGAAGAAAAGCACACCTGTCACAGTTAAGAAACTTGCTCTGGCCTCACAGGCTGCTGTCTACAAGGATATCATCCCTGGATACCGTATTCGTCCATTGAGCGAAGAGGACCAGTCCGGCAGGGTATCAAAAGATGTGCGCAAGATCCGAGATTTCGAACAGTCCCTCGTGGCAGGATATCGAGCCTATGTCCAGAAGCTTGCTACGCTCATCAAGCCACCAAAAGGAGAGGTCCCCACAGATGCTGGACTTAGGAGCTTCGCGATTTCAATGGCTTGCACTATGCTCTTGGCCGTGCCACACTTCAACTTCCGTAGCGAGCTTCTGAAGATCTTAGTGAACCGCCTTGCCCGGAGACAACTTGATGCCGACTATGTCAAGTGCCGCGAAACTATGGAGAATATTTTCGCCAAAGATGACGATGGAACCGTCTCCCTCGAAGCTGTCCGTCTGCTAGCAAAGATGTTGAAGGCCAGAGACTTCCACATTCACCCCACTGTCTTGGACACATTCCTCCATCTCCGTTTGCTCGGCGAGTTCCACTTGAAGGCGTCCCGAGACCGAGTGGACCGGGAAGAAGAAGAAAAACCCCACGGAAAGAAGCCCAAGCAAAAGCGCGAATTCCGCACGAAGCGAGAGCGCAAGGTTCAAAAGGAGCGGAAGGAAGTCGAGAAGGATATGTCACAAGCAGAGGCAGTGGTATCGCACGAACAAAGAGACAAGAACCAGGCCGAAACACTAAAGCTTGTGTTCGGACTCTATTTCCGCATTCTCAAGCTCCGCATTCCCGCACTGATGGGTCCTGTGCTTGAGGGTCTGGCGAAATATGCCCACCTTATTAACCAGGACTTCTTTGGTGATCTGCTCGAGGCTCTGAAAGACCTGATTAACCACGCCGAGCGCGAGGAAATGGGCGTGGAAGGCGACGAGGAGGTCGTCCACGAGGAAGACGACGAAGAGGAGGACCATGTCACAATTGCCGAAAGCGCAGCCCGGGACGCTCGCCGAAGGACGCTACTCTGCACCGTGACTGCATTTGCCCTGCTCGAAGGCCAAGAAGCCAGCAAAGCAGCCGCAGGTCTCCACCTCGACCTGAACTTCTTCATCAAGCACCTCTACCGATCCCTCTATTCCCTCTCCATGAACCCTGACGTCGAGTTCAACCCCGACACATCTCTCCGCCTTGCCGACCCCCATTCCTCCGCAGAAGGCACCCAGCTCACCGAGACCCGCTCCAAGAACAAGGTCAACTTCCAGACCCCGATGGTCCTCCTCCTCCGCTGCTTGCAGCCGACTCTGCTATCCCGCGCACACGGCAACCCGCCCGCAAGCCGACTTGCCAGTTTCTCCAAGCGTCTCATGACGACTTCGCTCCAGTTGCCGGAGAAGTCTGCTCTTGCGACACTTGCGCTCTTGAACCAGGTCTCGAAATATCACGGTCGTCGTATCTCTTCGCTGTGGCACACGGAGGAGCGTAAGGGTGATGGTGTGTTCAATGGTTATGCTGCTGATATTGAGGCTACCAATGTCTTTGCTGGTACAGTGTGGGAGGGTGAGTTGTTGCGTCTGCATTATTGTCCACAGGTGCGAGAGGCGGCGGTGGAGATTGAAAAGATGATGGTCTCTTCTAAGTAAATACTGTTTTGATTAATTTTATATGCATATTCAGCTACGATGTCTACTTTTCTTGGAGAATTGTAATCAAACAGATTCATTGACATGCTAATCAAAATCTAACACATTTTCCCAAGTCCTCCAAATCCAACAAAAAGATGAGAGTTCCTTTTTTGGGGGGTTTTTGTTTTTTGGGGGGACTTTTTTATGTGAGGGTTTTCCGTTTTCAAGTTTTTTGTTTTTTTTTTTCAATATTCTTTGGGAAAGCATCTTTTTGAAGTATTGGACTTACTCGCTTACTTGCGAGTTTTGTCCTTGCCAGACTCAGGGGAGCCCTTGGGCTGAGCTGGGCGGGGAGGCACAATTGGAGTGGCCGAAGGGATACCCAGGGCGTTCACCTCACGGAAACCAGGACGATAGAGTGGGTGAATGTTAGCCAGTGGGATGGGCTCTCCAGGAACGCCGGGGAGAACAATTCCGCGAGGAAGTGGTGGGACAGGTGGGATCGACTCTTCCTGACGTGAAGCTCGAGGGGCTTTGCCACTGGTACCGGATGAAAGGCTGTCACTACGGCGACGGAATCCGAACAAACTCTTTCCCTTCTTCTCAGATCCATGTTGCTTATCGATGGCATCTTTCTTTGCCTTGAACTCTGCTGCAGATCCAGATGTGCTGTCTGCATAACCACCAGTGTATTTGCGGATGTTCTCTTTGTCGCTCGACTGAGAGCCAACAGACTTCTTCGAAAGAGTCTCCTTGGGTCGAGGGATCGAGCTCTTTGCAGAGGAAGATTCTGGAGAGATGATTGTTGCGGACCCGGTGGCCGATGCTGGCGGAGTAACCTTTTTTGGAACAGTGGTAGCTCCGGAGAGAGTGTTCTTTGCTGGCACAGTAGCAGATGCCGGGGGAGTAGCCTTCCCTCGAACAGTTGGGGATGCTGAGGAAGTGGACTTTGCTGGAGTAGGCTTTACTGTCACAGTCGATCCCGAGGAAGTGGAATTTGCTGGAGTAGCCCTTGCTGGCACAGTGCGGGACGCTGGTGGAGTGACGTTTGCTGGCACAGTAGTCGATCCCGAGGAAGTGGAATTTCCTGGAGTAGCCCTTGCTGGCACAGTGCGGGAAGCTGGTGGAGTGACGTTTGCTGGAACGGTGGTGGATGCTGAGCGTGTGGCATTTGCTGGCACAGTGGTTGATGCTGGTGGAGCTGCTCCAGGCTCAAAGGTGGCAAGGGATTGAAGCTGACCAGTGGGTGGCACGTTGTCTTGCGTAGCCAAAGGGAATTGTGGAAGCACAAGTTGCACATCTTGGGAAACGTTGAGATTGTTCTCATGTTGCAGGAGTCTGAATGCAATCTGCATGCGGATGATCGATTGTCTCACGAACAGGAGTTGCGCTCCGTTATTCACAGCCATATTTCCGATGTCCTGTAGATCTTCATCGATCTCACTGTTCTTTCGACGCTGGTAGGCCACGAATGGCTCTTCGGTGTTCTCCCAAATTCCGGTGAGACACATATCGACCTTGGCGCTCAGGTCATTGACAGTCGAGGTCAGTCCGTTGATTTCAAGTCGCATCTCGTGGATACTCTCCTTGATCTGGTTAACCTGATCCATGGTCTTCTTGTTTTCGCGCTTGAACTTGGAAAGTTCAAAAGACAAGTCGGAATTGCGCTCAACTTGCGCGTGCATTTGATCCTTGATGTAGTTCTCAGTCAAGGTAAAGAAGTCTTCAACCTTCTTTTCGAGCCTGTTGATATCGTCGATCTTCGTTGCCAGTCGCTTTTGGGTTGCTTCATACTGGTACTGGAGAGTTCGAACAGTCTCGGGGAGATCCTTGAGAGTAGCGAAACTCGAACGATTACTAGTGACAGGACTGACACCAGTAGGACTGAAAGGCGAGCCCAGGATGGGAGTGCGCAGGCCATCCCTGTTGAAGATGGGGGTGCGAGGGCTGGGTGTGTGTGGTTCGAATTTGCCGGGAGGAGACATGGGGAGTGGCTTGTTCTTGCCCTCCGGAACATCGGGACTGTCCTCCATCTTTGGCGGAGATGGGGGAGCAGAAAAAGAGCGAGGTTTTACTTCGGCAATGGAGAGGTTGCCGTGACGGTTTTTGAGGATGGAAACAGGAAGAGATGGTACAGGGGGGATGGAGGAGGAGCGGCGAGAGAAGTGAGAAGGGTGGGAAGAAAGGTGGGAGGAAGATTGGGAGGCAAGTTTTGCCTTTTGTTGAGCGAACGCGTTACGTTTGTCAACGGAAGGAGGGGGCAACTCCCAATTCTCCCCGACGCTGGAAGGCAAACCAACCGTAGGGTTGGCCGACTTGGAAGGCACAGGTACCGGCACCGCAGTCACTGTCACGTCAGAACGAGGAGACGCCAGTGGGTTGCACATCTCGTCTGCGACGTCGTCCGCGAAGTGTACGCGGGAAAGGGTGCTGCGACGAGACGACGAGTTCGCAGAGGAGGGGGTCTCAGGGCGACCAGTCCGGCCGCGGGGACCTTCCGAATCGGTATCTATAAGAACATCAAGCGTCAGTGACCCTACCCCTTCTTGCTTTGAAGTGAACTGAAAGTGAAGGCCATCTAGTTGACCATGTGAGGCCAGAGTGATAGATATCTCTCATGTTTCTGAGTATCTCTCTCTCTTGATTCTTTCTTTCGAGGCATAGTCTGTTGGCAAATGAATGGTTTCTCTGCCCAGATCTGCTTCCATAGAAAGGGTGGCCATAGAAAAGGATCTGCTTGCACAGTCGAGCAGATCTGATTCCAAGGAACAAATTCCAAAGAACCGATTCCAATACCAAAGAGATCTGATTCAAAAGAATCATGCCCAATTCTATAGCAAGGAACAGATCTCCAAGAACAAGCTCAATCTCAATCTCAGGAAGAGCCGCGATCCCGCAGTCAGAATGGCTCCATCCGAAGGGACGCAACCCTGCAGGCATGCTAGCTCAATCCCACAAGGGAGAGACACGATCCTGTTAGCAAGATGGCTCAATCCCACAGAAGAGACACGAACCCGCAGGATGGCTCAATCCCACAAGGGAGAGACACGATCATATTAGCAGGATGGCTCAATCCCACAAGGGAGAGAGACGATCATGTTAGCAAGATGGCTCTTCCACAAGGAAAAGATCATCTAGCAGACAGAATGGCTCAATCCTGGAAGATATGAGATGATTCTGAAGAGAAGGCCCAGCCCCATGGATGAACTCGGTCGAAACGAGACCCGAGTTCACCGAAAGAGACACTCCATGAGGTCAAAAGTGATGAATGGTTCAGAGAAGTGAATGCTACTTACCTTGACTTTTCTTTGCCATCTCGTCTGATGCTTTTCAAAAAAACAGAATGAATGGTGATGATGGTGAGAAAGAAGAAGAAAACAGACGCGTGGTGGAAATAACAAACCGAACAGTTCGGGGTCAACCACTGAGCACGTGGCCTAGAGATACCCATCATTACAGCCCGGAGATGGAAGGCACGATGAGCTCCATGGTGCTCATCAGCATTATGCATTCATCTTCCCAATATCGAAGGAACGACCCACATTGCTTTGGGCATCACATTCTACCCCGGGGCCTTCCAAGGTTCAACATGATACTTTTTTACATGCAATGAACATGCCATCCATCAGCAACAGCAAAGGACTGCAAAGCAAAGAGAATTTGGTCTTGAAATATTGGGCAACAGACACCTTATATACCCATTCCAGAGCCGTAGGCGTTACACAGACACAAAAAAGATATAGCAAGCAAACAAAGTGCATCAGTTAAAGAACAAAAACTAGGGCATAGGATCTAAAAGACATGCATGCAAAGAAACTAAAATATTACAAGCAAACAAGCACAAAAAGATTGAGAAGTATAAGTTATTCATTAAGATCATGTCATTAAGTATACTGGATACATAGCAAGCCAGGTAGATCCATCAAGAGCAGCCGGCCATGCCAACACCAACATAGCATTGGAGACAACAAAAGGAAATCATTAACCATAAGAAATATCAAAGCAAAGCGCAAATGGAATTCGTAAATAGAAAACAGGAACAGAACAGATAATACAGGGGAATATGGAACGGGAGTGGTTGCAAATTGGACCTTCGAAGTATAGTTCGTGGTGCCACGCACTTCCGTAATGCCACGGTATAGTTCGATGACCTTTTGAATTGGGGCTCGATGATCCACGTGACTCCACGTAATCGCCGCCCCACCGATATCATCCAATCATTTGTCTGTGGTGAAGCAGGAACGCCAGAATATGGCGAGAACAGGCATGGCAAAAATCGCGATCCAGAACAAATTGCTGATCGAGCAGTCAGTTATTAGTTTGAATGGGAAATTTCTGCGTCATTACGACGATCTTCTTCGGTAGTAGTTCCAAAGAAACAAACACAACCGGCTAGGGAAAAGCATAGGAAAGGCATAGGAAAAGCACAAAGCACAAGAAAACAAAGGATACAGTCTAATTTGAGGACTTTCCACGGCGGAAAGGTGAAAAGATTGCCCCAAAGAAGTTCACAAAGACAGTGCGCAGGATCGCTTTGAGCCAGCTGTCAGGTGCACCATTTAGAGAAACAGCAGTCACTGACCGATTCTGGCTGCTCGCTGGACGAGCATCTTCATCATTATTCTTGGGTGCAAGAGTATCATCGGCAGCAGGCTTGGCAGCGGGTTCGGCTTCGGCGGTTCCCTTGCTGGCCTCGGCGGCAGGCTGGGACTTGGCGACAGGCTCGGACTCGGCGGCACTCTCGACTGTCGGGGCAGACGGTTTCTGGGTGGTCGTGGACAGCTGGTCTGTGGAGGGTTGGTTGAGCTTGCTAAGGAGGGCTTCGTGGTCGCCAGCGAGAGCTGCGAGAATGGGATCAGTTTCGAACGATATGGCAGACGGCTGGGATGAAAGATAAAACGGTGTTGGCTTACCGTCGGTGTGTTGTGCATCTGCTGCCGAAACCTGGGGCTGGGTCTCAGCCTTAGTAACCGGCGACTTGTCTGCATCGGTAGCTTGGAGATCCTTCTGATCTTTCGAGGTCTCTGGGACAGTCTCGGACACCTTGTGAGCAAGAGCGGCCACGCCGGCACCGGTAATGGCGGCAGCGGCAACGCCAGCACCAATAATTTCAGTGCTGATGCCAGTATCCTTGGCAGAAGCTTCCTCAGAAACGGGAGCAGCGATCTCCTCCTGCTTGGTTTCGGCCTCAGCAGTTTCGACCTTGGAGGGTTCCTCGGTTGCAACAACTGTCTCCTCGACAGGAGCAGACTGTTCTGGGACGATGTCCTCGACCTTGACATCCTCCTGTGCGGGCTTCTCGACGACAGCCTCAGCAACAGCTGGCACTTCAGGCTCAGCGGTTGCTGGCTCCTTGGCGGCCTCTTCAACAACGACGGCAGGCTGCTCAATAGCAACTTCCTTGGCCACGGTTGTCTCGGGCTCGAGCTCCTTAATGGTAGATTCCTCCACTGGAGCGGCCTCGGGGATCTTCTCCTCAGCGGCAGCAGCTTCAACGGGCTCCTCAGCCTTCACAGGCTCTGCGACAGTCTTCTCCTCCACAACTGGTGCCTCGACAACTTCAGCGGCTTGGACGGTGGGCTCGACAACGGCTGGCTCAGTCACATCCTCAACCTTCTCAGTCGCAGGTGCCTTAGCAGCGGGTTCTTCGACAACGGGTGCCACCTCAGGAGTCTGTTCGGAAACAGGCTCAGCAGTAGACTCGGCCGCAGTCTCGACAGCAGCAACAGGCTCGTCGATGGTCTTTTCTTCGGCAGCAGGAGTTTCAGCAACAGCTGGCTCGGCAGTAACGGCCTCAGCCTTAACCTCAGGGGTAGCAGCAGCTTCAACGGTCTCTGCCACAGTGGCTGGCTCATCAACAATCTTCTCTTCGACAGCGGCAGCAGTCTCATTCTGTTCAGCGACAACCGGCTCAGCAACAGCCTCAATCTCGGGTTGCTTCTCCTCGACCTCAACTGCAGGAGCCTCGGTGGAAGCCTTGATGGGCTCCTCGACGGCAACTTCCTTGGCAGGCTCTTCAACGGGAGTCTCCTCAACAGCAGGAGCGTCCTGAGCTGCCGGCTCTGGGGCGGAGGTCTCAGCAACGGGCTCCTGAGCAGCCTTGTCAGCGACCGGCTCTTCGGTGGCCTTCTCAGTTACTTCCTCAGCCTTGATAGCTTCGGGCTGCTCAACGGCGACTTCCTTGGCAGTTTCGGCGGGGGTAGCCTCCTCCACTGGTTCTTGCACAGACTCAGTAGAAGCGGCATTTTCCTCGACGATAGCGGCGGCAGCCTCAGGGACAGAAGGAGACTTCTCAGTGATAGCAGCAGCGGCAGCAGCCTCAGGAATAGCGGCAGCTTCAGTGGCCTCAGGAACAGCGGCGGCAGCAGCAGCCTCCTCGGGAACAGCAGGGGACTCTTCGGGGGTCAAGTCCTTAGCAGTTTCAGCCACAGGCTCCTCCACAACTGGTTCCTCTGCCTTGACCTTCTCGGCGGTCTCTTCGACAGGCTCGGCCTTGGTGGGCTCCTCAGCCTTCTCAGTAGCAGCCTCCTCGGCGACCACGGCGATAGGCTCTTCGACTGCTTCGGTGGCAGGCTCGGTGGTGGTAGTCTCCACGGCGGCAGCCTTGGCAGGCTCCTCGACAGCAGACTCCTTAGCAGCATCGACAGTCTTCTCGGGAACAGGCTCGGCAATCTCAGTCTCCTTGACGGGCTCGGCAGCCAATTCCTTAGTGGCAGGCTGCTCAACGGGAGCCTCCTGAGTCACCTCCTTAGTGGGCTCAGGAATGGCTTCCTCCTTGGGCTCGGAAACCTCAACAGTGGGCTCCACAGCAGTTGTCTCTGGGGCAACCTCTGGAACAGCCTCTGCCTCAACAGCGGGTTCCTGGACAGCCTTCTCGGTCACTGGCTCCTCGACAGCTGCTTCGGTGGCGGGGGTTTCCTTGGCGGTTTCAGGAACAGCCTCGACAGTCTTAGGTTCCTCCACAGCAGTTTCAGTAGCGGGAGTCTCCTCGACAACTGGTTCAGCAACAGCTTCGGCAAAGGACTTGGTGGGCTCTGACTCTTCAGTGGCAGATTCAGTGGGCTTTTCCTCGGTGCTAGGCTTAGCAGCCTCCTCAACCTTAGATTCTTCGACGGCGGGAGTCTCAGAAACGGCCTCGACCTTCTCTTCGGCAGCAGGCTTGGCAGCCTCCTCAGCCTTAGGTTCCTCCACTGCGGGTGTCTCCTGGACGATTTCAGAAGCAGCCTCGACGGGCTTAGATTCTTCTACTGCAGCTTCAGCAGCAGGAGTCTCCTCGACAACTGGTTCGGCGACGGCTTCAGCAAAGGACTTGGTGGGCTCTGACTCTTCAGTGGCAGATTCAGTGGGCTTCTCCTCGGTGAAAGGCTTAGCAGTCTCCTCAACCTTGGATTCCTCGACGTCGGGAGTCTCAGCAACGGCATCGACCTTTTCTTCAGCAGTAGGCTCAGCAACTTCCTCGGCGGCCTTAGATTCCTCGACTGCGGGGGTCTCAGAAACAGCCTCGACCTTCTCTTCGGCAGCAGGCTTGGCAGCCTCCTCAGCCTTAGGTTCCTCCACTGCGGGTGTCTCCTGGACGATTTCAGAAGCAGCCTCGACGGGCTTAGATTCTTCTACTGCAGCTTCAGCAGCAGGAGTCTCCTCGACAACTGGTTCGGCGACGGCTTCAGCAAAGGACTTGGCGGGCTCTGACTCCTCCTTGGTGGACTCAGTGCCGGCCTTCTCCTCAGTGGCAGGCTTTTCCTCAGTGGCGGGCTCAGCAACCTCGGCGGTCTTCGATTCTTCGACAGCAGGAGCTTCAGAAACAGCCTCGACATCCTTTTCTTCGGTGGCAGGCTTGGCGACCTCCTCAACCTTAGATTCTTCCACAGCCGGAGTCTCTTCGACAACAGGCTCTGCGACAGTTTCAGAAGCAGCTTCCACAGGCTTCGATTCCTCAACAGCCTTCGCGGCGGGAGTGTCCTCGACAACCGGCTCAGCAACAGCTTCGGCAAAGGACTTGGCGGGCTCAGACTCTTCCTTGGAGGATTCAGTGACGGGCTTTTCCTCGGTGGTAGGCTTAGCAGTCTCCTCAACCTTGGATTCCTCGACTGCGGGAGTCTCGGCAACCTCCTCAGTCTTAGATTCTTCCACGGCGGGGGTTTCCTTAACAGGCTCTTCGACGACCTCGGGAGCAGCCTCGACAATCTTTTCTTCAGTGGCGGGCTTCTCCTCGGCGATTGGCTCGGCAACCTCAGCCTTGGATTCTTCGGCGGGAGTCTCCTTGGCGATTTCAGGAACAGCCTCTTCGGCCTTGGATTCTGCTACAGCCTCGGGGGCAGCTTCGGTCTTTTCTTCCTTGGCGGCTTCGGGGACAGCCTCGGCGGTCTTAGATTCTTCCACGACAGCTTCAGCGGCCGGAGTCTCCTCGACCGGTTCAGCGACAGCTTCGGCAAAGGACTTGGGCTCCGACTCTTCCTCAGCAGGCTTGGCAACCTCCTCGACGGCCTTGGATTCTTCGACAGCGGGCGCCACCTGGGCGATTTCAGGAACAGCTTCGGCAGTCTTCGATTCTTCCACAGCGGTTTCGGCGGGAGTCTCCTTCGCGGCTTCGGTGGTTTCAGGAACGACCTCGGTGGTCTTTTCTTCCTTGGCAGCTTCAGGAACGGCCTCGGCGGTCTTGGGTTCTTCCACGGCAGCTTCGGCGGGAGTCTCGACCGGCTCAGCGACGGCTTCAGCAAAGGACTTGGCGGGTTCCGACTCTTCCTTAACAGGTTCGACGATATCCTCAGCCTTGGATTCTTCCACGGCGGCTTCAGCAGGCTTCTCGACAGGCTCGGCGGCAGCTTCGGGGGCAGCCTCGGTGGCCTTTTCTTCGACGGCCTTCTCCTCGGTAGGCTGAGCAGCCTCGACGGTCTTGATATCTTCCGCGGGAGTCTCGACTATGGGCTCTGCGGTGACTTCAGGAACAGCCTCGGCGATCTTGGGCTCTTCGGTGGTAGGCTTAGCCTCTTCCACGGCCTTGGATTCTTCGACGGGCGCTGCGACAGTTTCCGGAACGGCCTCAACAGTCTTCGATTCTTCTGTGATGGGCTCGGCGACCTTCTCAGCAACCTCGGGGGTAGCTTCAGTAGGCTTTTCCTCAAGCACTGGCGCTTCGGTAGCGTCGACAGCCTTCTCGGCCGGCTTTGATTCTTCCGTTGATTCAATTGCGGTTTTTTCCTCAACCACTGGCTCGGCAGGTTCAACTTCCTTGGAAGCTTCGACAGCTGATTCCTCTGCGGACTCTGCAGTTTTGGTCTCAGGAATGGCAGAAATCTCGGGAGTCTCTTCGGAAGTCTTTTCAGCTTCCACAGCAATGGAGCTAATACTCTCCTGTCTCTTTTGCTGCTTCTTCTTTGCCTTCTTGGCCTTCTTCTTTTCTGCGGCGGTCATTGGGACCTCTGATTGGGTTGAATCTTTGGATTGTTGTGTGGAGTCGGGTTCAACCAAAGTGGCAGTAGATTCACTCATTTCCGCCTCAGTTGCATCGGCGGACTTTGACATAGTCTCAACTGGCCCGGTGGGCAGCACATGGCTTTCCGGGAGAATAGGCTCTTGGACGCTAGCCATGGTTTATTCGTTTCAAGTTCGTAATGTCGTAAAATGATCGGAGGGTATTAGGGGTGTTTTTTTTTTTCACAATTTGACCAGCAAAGATTTAACGCTAGATTATCGTGTACAGAAAACACAAGCTCACAGAGCAAGATGTAGGGGATTATTGTGAGTATGGAGGAGGGGAAAAAGGCAGAAAAAAAAATCTCAGCCCAAGTACAAAAAAAAACCTCTGACGGCACAGCTCCAATAGTGGGGAAAAATCAGTTGGCATAGTGACCAGACACTAAAATTGATAAACTAATACTAAAATGTACTAAAAACTAAATAATCCATTTATTCCTCTTAGCTTAACGCCCAATGGTTGTTCGTCCTTTTTTTTGGGCTCTTTCATCCGGATATCCACTTCCAATATGCGGTGAAGCTATATCGCCGAGGTTTATTGTTTTGGTTTTTTGCTTCTTTTTCTTAGACATGTGCTAATGTAGATGGCATGATTCTATTTTGTATATATGTTTCTTTCCCCTGGTTGCACAATTCAGTGTGTTAACAAATTGGGCGAAAAAAAAAAGTGAAAAGGAATGGCCGGGCTCTTATCCACCTGTCATAAGTCCTGAGTCCTGAGTCATATTACTCCAAGGTAATTTGTGGATTGGCTGATGTTTTTTTTTTCTGCAGAGGGTCCATATTATGCGGAACACCACGGATCTCCATATTTCTACCTCGGACTCCTCTGTACTACCCGTCCTACACTACAATTTCTACATTCGGCAATCTAGAAATTTTCATAACAAAGCTCGTGCCTCACACTAGTAGCTCTCGTGCATTGCGTGCTGCCTCAAGCTTGGACCCTCCCACAGAAGCCGCATTTCCGGCTCAAAGCCCATGCAGTTTGCAGTTCCCACTCAGCTTCCCTTCCACCGACTTTCATTGTGATATAGAAGGCGGTGTGATCGGCTTCCCGTTCTCGGGAATGCGCGGGAGATCGTGAGAGGATGCCAGGTTTGTCGATGATATTAAGGGGCAATTTAATTGGGCCCTGGTAAAAATAGCACTGTAAAAGCGGTCTCATGACTTTTTTCCTAACTAGTCAACCGAGCAGAGACCGGGAATTTTCGGTTATAGCGTCTTCTATAACATAGCTAAATAGAACCTTCTCTTCATGTTGATTGAGAATCGGGTATTAAGGACTCGCGATAGCAATTACAAGGATTGCGCAGATGTGACTTGGCGCATCATTCTAGTGCAATGAACTTTGCTTTTGGTGCTCAATTCTGCATGTATCCTGTATGAAAGTAATTGTCTGCACTGAATTTGAGTGTTATTCTTGCTCCTTCACTTCTCATATTTCCTCTCAATCAATGCACAAGTCTGGAATAAGGATGTGAAGAGATATCAACCTTCCTCACGTTGAAAGCCAGTACATATTCTCCTTTCTTCCAATCACAACGCAGCACAGCCCCTCTTTTCGTGAACTACATATATGGCCACCCCATCCCCATCCGCACCAACAGAACTCCCACGCCCTCAGCGAGAGGACTACGCATTTATTTGTCATGGGTGTAATATCGTACTAAAACTCACAGTCGGCATTTCGATAAGGTCGAATATGTAGGAGCTGACCGTTGTGTGGGTTGCGAGTGTAGTACGGATAGCGGATATCTTGTAAGTGGAAATTGCAAGCGTATATGATATAGGAGCTAACAAATAGGAAGCTGAAACGAGAGGCAGAGGAACATGTGAAACAGCACAGCGAGCAACTCAAGAAAGATGTGTTCTACGATATGAGTCAGGCAGCGGCAGAGGAACGGCTACGACAGCAACAAATTGAGATATTGGAACGTCAACGGATGGAATTGTACACAACTTCTCATGAGTTACTACGTCCTTCGAAAAATGAATTTTCAAGATATCTCCATGTCGGTCAATGTCAACCTGTCGGAGGACGTTATCTACCAGTGTTCATGCCTAAAACAAAAAACGAGATCAATTAGGGCTTTCCTTGTCATGACTCATGTTACATGTTTATGAGGTAACTGCGATGCAGCTAGAGAATTAATTTGGTCCAGTTGACCTTCCCGAGGTCGCCCTAACGACATGATGCTTTAGACAGTGCAGATAATAACGCACGGTACTGGTGTACATCAACGTCAATGCCCTAACCATCAAGGCAATGCCGTTGTTCTTGGAGATTCATCCAGCGATAGCGCATTGCATCATCCAGAAGGAAAATATGCATTTCGACTTCTCTACAGCAAGATCCCTACAGATCCAGATGGTTATCAAAGTTTACACGACTACTTCTTCGAACACTTGGTACATGGACGCTCTATGGAAATCTACTTATACAACCCGCCCGACGCTTTCGCTTATCAACGGCGCAAAATCGCCCACCGCAGGGTATCCACGCTAGAACTGGGGAATCTCCCGACTACATCTCGCCACTGATTCTGACAATTCGGGTAAAAACCCAGCATGACTTATCGGGGTTTTGTATCTTCCTTACACCGGAAACCGTTGCAAATTCATACACTAAGAATTTAAGTATCAAGATCCGACCGAGAATTGGACTTGCAATTAAATTATGCATAGAATTAGGAATATTAAAATACTCTTACAAAGGCAAAAGCCGAGGTGGCGCCCGTTACCCGTAGGATCCGTATAGACCCACCTGGTTCTCCATACCAAACGTATGAATCATCATATCCTGTGACTACATAGGTAATTTGTTCAGCTTTTGGCCCAGGGGAATAATATTGATCTCGGCCGACTCGCAAGTCAAAAAATCTGCTTTTGTGACTCAACATCTTAATATTCTATTTTATACTCCATCTAAATGATGTGAATGGCGACTACAAATGTCAATCTCAATAGATCATCTTTTGCTCCTTAAACCCCATTCAAAGTCCATGATCTGATATTGGCTGACACTCATCTTGGTACGATGTCATCACAAGACAATCAAAACGAATTCTCATATGGCGACAGCGAGTCGACCAACATACATGATACCACAGGATCACCGGAAGAGAATGTAGATTCTTACCCAAATAAGTCAAAACATAATCATGGCTGGCGCCATCTCGTGCGGAATTTCACACCGGCGTAAGTGTCTCGAGCGTAGGTTGTCGACTTTACTAACTCTTCCAGTTGGTTCTCGGTCAATATGGGCACCGGGATTACTTCTATTCTGCTCCACACTCTACCCTATAATGGCAGATGGCTGTACTGGATATCAGTGGTGATATTCTGTTTGAATGTGCTTCTTTTCATCATCTTCCTCGCCATAAGTATCTTGCGATATATTCTCTACCCAAAGGCCTTCTACCTCATGGTAACCCATCCAGCGCAATCGCTTTTCCTCGGAACTCTCCCTATGGGATTTGCCACAATCATCAATATGGTTTGCTATGTCTGTGTACCAGCCTGGGGGGACTGGGCTGTTTACTTTGCCTGGGCTCTGTGGATGGTAGATGTTATAATGTCTGTCATGACGTGCTTCGGGATACCATTTATTGTGTATGACACATATAACTCCTTTTTTGAAGATACTAGAACTGACTCGCTTTCTAGAATGACTCGACCGGCTCATGTCGAACTACAGACGATGGGCGCCGCCTGGCTACTTCCCATTGTGTCTTGTGTCGTTGCGGCGGCGTCGGGGGGTATCGTGGCTGATTTACTCCCAAATCCTCAACATGCTCTAGGAACTATCATCGTGAGCTTTTTTCTATGGGGCGTTGGAGTGCCCCTGGCAATGATGGTTATTGTCATTTATTTGATGCGTCTTATGCTGTGCAAACTACCACCAAAAGCAGTGATTGTTAGCACGTTCCTGCCTCTTGGACCTCTTGGCCAAGGCGGTTATGGGTGAGTATCTTCGCAATGTTTGAAAGGTGCGAGTCACACATTAATACATCTTTTTTTCTGCATAGAATTCAAAAATTGGGGATCGTTGCACAAAAGATCTTCCCGCTTACAGGAACGTTAAGACCTGGATCAGGCGATACGTTCTACGACATCGGCTTCCTGATGGCTCTCCTCATGTGGTCATTTGGCTGTCTATGGCTGTTCTTTGCAGTGGCAGCCATTCTTCGATCGAGGAAATTTCCATTCAACCTCGGATGGTGGGCATTCACTTTCCCGCTCGGTGTCTTTACAAACTGCACCAACCAGCTAGCCCAAGAAATGCCCTCCAGGTTCTTCAGAGTCCTAGCAACAGTAAGCTACTTGAACGTCAAATTTTTCGTCTTCAAATGGCTAACTCATCCTAGATACTAGCTGTTTGTGTCGTATTAATATGGATTGTGGTATCTCTCTTCACACTAAAGGGAGCCTTCAATCGCAGTCTATTCGTGGCACCCTGTCTGGCTGACTTCCAGGAGTATGAGCCTAAGAAGTTTCAGAAAGAGAAGCATTGATCGAAGACATAGTCTGATTCTCTATTTTATAATAAGGATATCAACCTCCAACATGCCTTCGTTTAATGTAGACAAAATCCCGCTGGGTACTTGTAAGGACTCCTAGACCTGTTAGCATTGCATTGAGATGTTTGTTGTAGATGCCTTTGAAGGCGCGTATATGATACAGTATGGCATTGTACTGTAGATCCCGGTATTTGATCGGTCTGGGGATTCAAACGTTGAGTTTTCCCATTTCCCAGAAACAATTTGCTGGGTGGATCTCCGATGTCCAGGTCATCCGGGGCCCCGGGTTTTAGAATTATTGACCAACCTTTAGAGGTTTGAAAGATGTAGAACATAATCTATTACGTTAAACTGCTAAGACCTAACAGTATTCACACATATACTGCCCGAGGTAGTGGATATCATATGCGGTGGGCTTTTCCCCAGCCCACCGGCCCCACATATGGCTTATAGAGCACCCCTCTTCACCTGAGCATATATAGAACCACCTCCAGATATCAAAGGCCCATCAACTCAACAATACTTCCTTGATTACTCTTCCACTGCTACCTCTCACCATGTCTTCCACCGTCAAGTCATTCCGTCAACTCATCGGCATCCCCCCTTCCTCCGCCTCCACCAGTGACTCAACTCTCATCATTGTCGACGCTCAAAACGAGTACGCCACAGGCCTTCTCGCAGTTGAAAAAGTCGCCGAAACCCGCAAGGTTATTTCCAAGCTACTGGAAAAATACCGACAGGGTGGTAATGGCAAGAATATCGTCCACGTCGTGCACGAAGTGCCTGCTGGTGCACCCGTCTTCAGTCCCGGCACTGCTCTCGCGCAGGAATTCGAAGAATTGACACCCAAGTCGAATGAGAAAGTCGTCACTAAAAACTTCCCCAGTTCTTTTGCCAAGACCGATCTGCATGATTACTTGCAGGGACTGGGAGAAATAGGCAAGAAAATTGTTCTGGTTGGCTACATGGCGCATATTTGTATTTCGACCACTGCCCGTGCGGGTAGTGAGCTTGGATATGATGTGCTTGTTGTGCGGGATGCCGTGGGTGATCGCAATATCCCTGGTGCGAATGCGGAGACTGTGGTCTCTGTGGTTCTCAGTGAGTTGGGTGATGGATTTGCTACAATTGTGTCTGAGAGTGAGATCAGCTCGTGAGCTAGTGGACTGAACTTCGGGTATATTGTACATACAACTTATGAACAATAAAACCACTTATTGAACCGATCCTGTCATCTTTCAGCACGGAATATATTTACTTATAGCGAGGAAATCTCGGTGGTGGTGAGGTAGTAAGTGTAAATGTAAAGATGGATGCTCTTTGTAGCGTTAGGTATGATCAATCAAATATTAGGAAAATCTGAGTATGTTATTGATTCTGAGCTAGTTCTTTTGGCTCTAATTTTCCCCCTGGGCCTTTTCCTGGGTCAACTCCACCAATTTTCATCGGATTCCAATAAAATCCCACTCTGTGAAATCCAATTGGTATCTCTAGGCTCATCCGATTTATCTTTTCTTCTAGAGTGTACCAAAAGTAGTCGAGACAATTCCGCATTCGATCCAGCTTCCCATAAATGCCTCTTATCCGGCAGGGGGAACTGCAAATCGGAGAGGCGAAATGGTCGACCATCAGTCTCATCAGACTCTCCCATGCAACTCCCCATTCCACAAAGCCGAGAAACCTTATGCAAGGCCAAACCTAACCTTTTGATCTCTTCGACTCCCACCCACATACAGGTAACGGATTCCACGTTTCGGTACCTTGTGACCATATTAGGATAGTAGAAGATGTTATTTCGCAGACAGGTCGCGATCAGGGCGGAAAGAATTTGACGATCGGACACATGTAACGCCAGACTGAGGTTAAGTTCGAGACCAATTGGACTCGATGCCAGTAATGAGAATATGATGTATAGAAGAATGCCTTGGTATGTTCCAATTGGCCATCGTGAAGTTGGGTTGCCTGGACCTTCGTTATCGTCCTCCCCTTCAACCGGCGATTGTTCCCAGTTATCCTGTGAATCATCAATGAATTGGAAAAAAAAATTCAGATCGAATGAGTGTCTTTGGTTAACTTACCCGTTGTGCTGAAATCGCTAGTCCTAGCTTAGAATGCAAGTTCCGAGCATCTTGCCGCGCCGCTGGGCTTCCACTCACCCAGAGGCCGATCATTAACACTGCCTGAAGCAGCAATGGGGGCTCGTCGGGAATACTGAAGGTCTCTCGATGCAGGAACGGCCAGTGTTGATGAAAATGCGTGAAGTAAAGATGTATGTAATGGTCAACTTGGGCGGTATTCTCGAGGGAGGTATTGATTGGATCATCTCCACCGTACTCCCTGTAGTCTTCTGGATCTGGTTGAGCGGGCTCAATACCGGTGAGGACCGGACCGTTAAAGATACACAAGTGTCCCTTCAAAGAACACTCTGTACATGGTGAGCCCCCCTGACACCGTGCTTTGGTTGTACGACATCTCATACAGGCCTGTGTGGCGCGAGCGAGAGATTGTCCCGGGGCTTCATGGTCGCGACGAATATGACGTCGGAGACTGTCACTACATGGTTATTCGTTATCAAATGCTCAATGCTATATAAATCCAAGGATTACTCTACCTGCGAGAAAAGACACGACCACATATTGAACAAGTGCGATGGTGACTTCCACGATGTTGCGCTTCGTGGCGTCGGAGATGCTCTTTACGACGGTAACTCGAGGTACAGCCAGGGACCTGACATTGAAACTGTGTCATATTATCACTTACTCAATCTCTCGTAAGCTGATGTGAAAGATTGTCCTGTGAATATAGACAAGTACAATATTCCATCCCACCGGATATCCCACCGGATCAGAGGGAGGCGGCCAGGTTAGTAATCATTTTTGCCAACCTCGGGACCTCCCGACCTTGGGAGATCAAAAGAGGTGAACTGCCAAGATTTATGGCTTATTTTACTTTTGGATATCAAGAGTTTTATATAACAGAGACACGCATTATACAGATGGTATTTCATCAAGCTCATTCGACAACCAGTCCCATGAACAGGAATGGAATTATCTCGGGAGGATACCTATAGAGTACGGAGTAGGCCGTGGGAATCTCCCAAAAAGACAAAACTAACCGAAAGGGGAAATTCTCGGATATACAGAAACCAAGAATGTGGGGTAGCTCAGGCACCAGGTACCCATTTTTCCTTCAATCTCACTATGCATCTATATAGGGTACTATATAGGGGCAATTATTTTCTCCGTTCAGAAAAGTTCAGTATTATATGTAGGTCGGACGTGATATGGGGTCACCGGTCAATGGCACGTTCCACAAGCTAACAAACCCAAAGAGAATCAACGTAGAAACGAATTCTAGGCAGCAGAGTTAATTCAACAGCTAATAGTATAACGCTGCCTACATATAGCCCTGTAAAGAGTAAGGAGTAACCAGATCAGCCTTATGGTGGGCCCAAGCGTTCAGCCCTATGAGTTGATTTACACTTTCCCTCTGCACCGGAATAATCATCCTCTCTTCTATTTCCCACGTCCTATTGTTTCCCTCAAATCAGAGTAATTAATCACCTACACCCGTCTGACACGAGAATGACCTACTGTTCAGACCTGCCGTGATTGGTCAAAGTTAATCGTCTTAGTCAATCAACACTAAAATCCCGACATCGCCGGTGCCGAAGTATATGGGCCAGCCCTATGGCCCGGGTCTTATGGACTCAATATGGCCCTTCTTACTGGGCATTCCCTTTTTCTTCTTCCTTCTTCAGCTCCTCTTCTCCCTAGCAATCTGGAGAGCTGCCAGCTGTGACCTTCCAGACTACGAAGAACCGGAGAAAACCAGACGCAACAATGGCGGAGACTATCTCGACTCGAGTCGGCCACGCTTTCGCAAAGCTTTTACGAATTGATTTAGATCCAACTCCTCCAGTTATGAGGGATGAGACCTGAACTTGTGGCTATTATGAGTATGAACCCACTGTGGGCGACTGGTTTCGAGGCCACACACCCACCGCTCCTCAAGTTCGTGGCTATATATGGGGTCTCTTCCCTTTTCTTCATTGAATTGGGTATTACAATGTGCAATGGCTGATTGGGGACCTCGTGGCAGGTGAGCAAGCCCCATTGAAGCCAGTCAAATGTGTACAGAGACGAGGCTAACCTATAGCCATCAACAGGCATTACTGTTGGTGCCGTGGTCATTCCACAGGGCATGGCATATGCTGAGCTAGCCAAGCTACCCCCAGAGTACGGTCTGTACTCTTCGTTCATGGGGGTCTTGATCTATTGGTTCTTTGCAACCTCTAAAGACATCACTATTGGTGTAAGAACGGTCCCTTTTTTGGAGTCTGAAAAAGCTAACACTGTCAGCCTGTGGCGGTCATGTCTACACTCATGGGCTCAATCATCAGGGTTCAAGCTGTTCGCCCCGAAATACCTCCACCGGTCCTTGCTTCCGCTCTGGCAATCATTTGCGGTGCGATCATATTGTTCCTCGGGTTGCTTCGTCTTGGCTTCATCGTCGACTTTATCCCTCTTCCTGCAATCTCTGCTTTCATGTCTGGGTCTGCGATCAATGTCTGTGCTGGCCAATTGAAGACAGACCTCGGAGAGAAAGCGCATTTCTCTACGCGTGGGGCAACCTACAAGATCATCATTGATACGCTGAAACATCTTCCATCTGCTCAGATGGAGGCTGCTATGGGCCTGACAGCTCTGGCAATGCTATATGGCATACGGTCTGCTTGTAACTATGGAACGAGGAAGAAGCCCCACAAGGCAAAACTGTTCTTCTTTTTGTCCACATTGCGCACTGCCTTTGTCGTTCTTTTCTACACAATGATAAGTTCATCGACGCCATCACCCTGCCTTCAAACTACTCGGTTATGTTCCCCGGGGGTTCAAGGCTGCAGGAGTTCCTAAAATAGATGTTCCAATTATCAAGGCGTTTGTTGGCGAGCTCCCTGCTGCTGTGATTGTCTTATTGATTGAGCACATTGCTATCTCGAAATCATTCGGTCGTGTCAACAATTATACGATCGACCCGTCGCAGGAATTTATTGCGATTGGCATAGCAAACCTATTAGGTCCGTTCTTGGGTGGATACCCAGCTACAGGCTCATTCTCGCGAACTGCTATCAAAGCAAAGTGCGGCGTACGCACTCCCCTCGCAGGTGTGATCACTGCTGTTGTCGTCCTTCTTGCCATTTATGCGCTGCCAGCGTTGTTTTTCTTCATTCCCAAATCGTCCTTGTCAGCCGTGATCATCCACGCAGTGGGTGATCTCGTTACACCGCCTCATATCACGTATCAGTTCTGGCGTGTATCTCCAATTGACGCACTCATCTTCTTCATGGGCGTTATCGTAATCATATTCTCAACTATCGAGACCGGAATTTACTGTACAATCGGCGTGTCATTGGCAGTACTCCTCTTCCGACTCGCCAAAGCCCGAGGCCAATTCCTTGGCTACGTCCAGGTCCATTCAGTCGTGGGTGACCATATCCTCAAAGGGGACCCAAGCACAGAATTCGAAGATGACACCGACATGTCCCGAAGAGTCTACCTCCCAACCGAACACGAAGGTGGCACAAACCCCCGAATCAAGATCCATCAACCAGCCCCAGGAATCTTCATCTACAGAGTCTCCGAAGGCTTCAACTACCCCAATGCAAACCACTACACAGACCTTCTAGTCAGCCACATATTCAAAGAAACCCGGCGCACAAACCCGCAAGCATGGGAGACACCAGGCGACAGACCCTGGAACGACCCGGGTCCAACCCGTGCCGAACGCAAAATTCTCCTAGCGGAGGAAGCACCCACCTCCCCACTCCCAACTCTCCGTGCCATAATCCTCAACCTTGCAGCCGTCAACAATGTAGACGTCACATCCGTGCAGAACCTCATTGATGTCCGCAACCAGCTAGACCGCTGGGCATCCCCAGACAGCGTGCAGTGGCACTTCGCGCATATCCAGAATAGATGGACGAAGCGTGCTCTCGCAGCCGTTGGTTTCGGCTTCCCCGCCGTCTCGGATGAATCAGGTTCTCGATTGCAGAGGTCGATCTTTCACGTTGCGGAGATCCTGGATGGCAGTCTACCCGGTTCGGAAGCTCAGTCTCAGGTCGGATCGAAGGAGGACTGGTCGAAGGATGTGGAGGCTGGCCTCAAGGTGCAAGAGAGCGGTGCTTCCTCGTCGGTTATGGGTGTCTCTGAAGATGATATTCAGGTTGTGCGAACTGGTGAAAGGGATGCGAAGGTTAATACTCATCGTCGACGCGGTCGATCTGGTGTCGGTACTGGTATGGCTGTCGTCGATGGAATTAATCAGCCTTTCTTCCATGTGGACCTGACTAGTGCTCTGAAAAGTGCTGTGGCTGATGTTTAGGGATACATATGCTGGCATGGTGTATTCTTGATTTACTAATATTTGCTCGCTTCGAGGGTTTCTTTACTAGCTTTAATTATTATTATTAGGGATTATCCTCATTTCAAAAAACTCTGAATCAAACGAGACCAAGGAGGTCTTGTATTTTTATCAATTCAAGATCCACAACAATAGTTGGCCAGGTATCTATTTTATTCACCGCAAGTCTGGAAAGCTTCTCTAGGGCTCGAGACTGGCGGTGTCAGATCTCGATCGCGTAGATCGAAGACTAGTCCTAATTGCGTATAGCTGGTGGATGCGGACGATCTTATCTGTGTTGGTGGCTGAAGAAGGGTCACTCATGTGAAAGCCTCTTCAAGACACCAATTACCTACAATCACATAATAAGGCAGGTTACATATTAACTTTGTTTGAGAGGATCATTTCGCCAGAAATTATGCATACTCCCAGGACCATGGCAGTTGTTGACGAATAGCGTTGAGGTCTAACAAACCACTCCCGTTAACATCTCTCTCCAAGGACTACAAATGAGTCCTTGCGATCAGTGTGAGATATGCCAGTTTATCTTCCCGAAAAGATGAGCCAACCTATCCACAGGGAATGGAAAAATCTCGGAATACCCTCAGTATCCGATGTATCCGTCAAGCAACAGCTCACGCATCCCTGACGCGAACGCGATACGAGGAGTCGATGCTCTCTGTACATCAGCACAACCGATCTACAACTACAACCCTTCCTACTGAGCCATCTCGCTTCGCATGAATCCTCGCTATCCGAGTCTATATCTGCCGGTCTGGAGGACAGCATACCCACAGCCTCGAAATGGTTGGATATGTGATAGCGGGAAAGGTTGAAGCCTACAATATGCACAATGACCGGTCTACACAGTGCGGGCCTACCTCTAGCTCCGTATGTGGCATGGACGGTGAATCTTGATGGGTGTCCCGGACGGCATGACGCGTATATATGATGCGGCGGACGAGCCTAGGGCTGCTTTCGCGGACTGGATCGAGGCTGCGGGTGTTTTCGGTGCTGTTCTGCCCGGTGCAGAGCTAAGGATCAGACTGCTGATCAAGGGACGTGTAGTCGGTGCAAGGGTTGATGATTTCGGGCAGTTCGGGAGGGTGTAGAAGGGGCGCCTTGTTGTAAATGTTGTTCCTGGCGGATCATATGCCGCCGTTCATGGCATTTCTCGTTCGAGAAGGACGCGTTGGGTTTTTGAGAACATGTTTGGGCGATTTAGATACGGAGAACTCCGTACTGCGTGGCCTCTGAGTCCGTGGGGGCGGATATATTGACGAAAGAACGGGTGTGAGATTCGGTATGCGCTGTCCAGCGCATCAGCTGTAACAGGTAGCGCTGGCGCTAGGCTCGTGATTGCATGTGTTCCTGCCGAGGGCGTAGGGCGGTTCAAGGGAAGGTATGTGTTTCGGGGGGCATAGTTCATCTTATGTTTGAATTAGAGAGTGGATATTTTTAAGAAAGGAACTAAGCTATGGATACTGTGTGTGTCTGATTTACGGCAATACTGCGTACACTATACTGAGGCTATACGAGATGCCATCTGGCCTTATGACCTCACGGCATGTCAATGATGAGTTGATGAGTCGCAGATTGTGGAATTACCATACCGTATTTTTGTATTTTACCCGATTACACCCGGTCCCGGAGCCCCCTTATCTTCCCTCTAGAATAGCTCCCCTCTCAAAGCTTCTTTTTTATACTCAATTGCAGTTCTCAATTGCAATTCCAACTTCAAAACAAACATCCTCAATTCCCATGCCAATGGCCTGAAAAGCTCCAGGAAAAGGCAAAACGCGTAACGACTGCACCCTGAAATCGAGCTTGTGTGGGTCCCGCCAAGCTGCGATCAGCCGAAATTAGCAAAAATCGAATTTCCGGGATAAATGCGAAGAGCCTCTAATTAGCCCGTTTGGGACGCTCTAATTTGGCTATGAAAATTTTTTACTGGGGGTAGGTCTGTCTATATAAGGGTCTCCAGCCCCGTTCAAAAGAGAGGGAAGGACTGAAGGATAGTTTACCGCGTTACTCTGAACATCCTGTAATCTTCTTTAGGACAATCCGGAAAGACCAGTTTTCATGAGAAGTCCGGGTTATGGCGGGTCAAAATTCCAGTCTAAGTGGATCGGTCAAAAGCGAGGACACGACAACCCGGTTTTTTGCTTTTCGGCTCCCTTTTTTTCCCTGTCTTTTTTTTCGATCTCACCCCTATAAATTTACATAAGAATCCCCGTACCTGCAGGTCCAATGCATTGCCCTCGGCAAGCCTACAGAAAGCTATCGGGGTACCGGATCCCAGAATTATCCCAATATGACCACTCGGTGAGGTGGATTCCCGAGGGATGAAGGGGGAGACCATATCCACCTCCCATCCACATTATTTGTCTCCTTTCGGCCGGTCCACTGGTGGTTGCCCAGTGACTCCGTAGTTGGTGGACCTGGAATCCGAGTCGGGCCGGTTTGGGCGACGCCGGGAACAAATCCAAGGGAAATAACGGACCCGAGTAGATTATGATTGGTTGGAAGGAGCTTGTGGGTGGATCGATCCACTGGATTGGAACATGCTTAAGATCCACTGCAAGGGCGGAATTAGGATATTTTATTTTATTCTTTTTTTTTTTTCTTCATGTAATTTCATTTCATCCCTTTGTTCAAGCTTCGAATTCTACCAATTGAGATACGTATATCTAAAATACTATCAAGGACAGGTAATATTCTCCTGGAAAAGTGAAGGGTCATCTTTTTTACCATGCAGGGGATATTCTGATAAAAGACCCATAAACCATCAAAATCCAGTGGACCCAGTTGGAACAATACCCGACTGATCCCGACAGGTCTCAATACGCGGTAAGAATGGGAAAAACAAGACCAAAACCGATGAAAACGAGACAAAAACAGACCAAAACGATCCCCAGCATTCCTTAACGGTGTGATTTGCGTATGAAATACTCCGGAGTCCACGCACAACCTAGGGCTTTTTTTTACCTTACACATACACTAAGACCGACTAGGAGGCGGACGGGCGAAAATTTGGCCGTAGAGTATTTATGTCCTAGTGAGTGCCGTCTCCCGTAGTTTCCCAGCTTTTTCTCCCTGAAAAGTCCATCTCTCTCCTCTTTCCTTCTTTCTCCTCTCTTCCACCCACCCTATAATTCTATAACCCATCATCACAATGGCCACCTCTCGTGTCTTCGCCTCCCGCATGGCCTCGGTCATGGCCCAGACCTCCAAGGTCGCTCGCCCTGCTGCTCGCTTCCAGCTCAACGCTGCCACCAAGCGCACCTTCACCCAGAAGGCCCCCGCCTTCGGTGCCCCCAAGCGCATCCAGTCGCCCACTCTCCTCCAGGCCAAGGCTTTCCAGACTGCCGCCCGCCGCCAGTACTCCTCCGAGGTCGCCTCCGCCATGGTTGAGGTCTCCAAGAACATCGGTATGGGTTCCGCTGCCATCGGTCTCGGTGGTGCCGGTATCGGTATCGGTCTCGTCTTCGCCGCTCTCCTCATGAGTGTCTCCCGCAACCCTGCCCTCCGTGGCCAGCTCTTCTCCTACGCCATTCTCGGCTTTGCCTTCGTCGAGGCCATGGGTCTCTTCGATCTCATGGTTGCCATGATGTGCAAGTACGTCTAAATTATCTACAACTCGGGTTTTCGGATTCTTGGAAAAATGTCATCAAAACAAGGATTTTGGGTTTTTTGAGAGAATCTCTTTTTCCGCCGGGGAGGGTATTTGGTCGTGATGTATTACCATGTACTACTTTCAGCGTCATCTACAACACTTTTCTTTCTGTACATATAGAGTCCTATATGGCCCATCGACCATCCAACCTATCAAAGAGCCAAACCAAAAACTCTGTGTGTTGCGTCTGACGGCCGTATAATATCCTCTTTTTCTCTTTCCTTTAGATTTTCACCTTCCCCACGGGGCGAATGGGAAAATATGCGTATGGGGGCTTCACGAGCAAATCCGCCTTTGCTCGAAAGCTCAGAACTCCACGTAGACAAAGCTATAAAGCTACAAACCCCCAGTGGGCCACTAGTTTGGATCCTCCAAAACAAACAGCTCTGCTTTTGCTGGCCTGCTTTATTTCCCCCGTTATAGCGGATGTTGCTACGGGTCCTGCAGTGTATTTGACCCGCTCTTCAACGAGCAACTACGCCACAACTACCACCCATTGGCCTAAAATAGACGGTGAGAGTAAACTAGAGATGGTTCATAAGACAATCGAGCTATTTTATCGCAAATCTTTCGTGCTGGCGGGCCTCAATTGAGCTGGACACCCTCGACGCAAAATTTTTAGCTCCCGGGCCTCGGGAACGGCTTTCCCGTAGTCAGCTGACTCAGCTTGTGACATCAGCCCATTCCAGACCTGCCATGAAGGTCGAGGTTCTGCATGCAGCATGCAGGAATTGAAAGCGAAGCAAGTCATATTGCATTATCAGCTAGGTGTTTTGTTAATTTACGAGGGTTGAGGAATTGCAGGCGATGTCCGGCGACTTCCCCGTTTATATCCACGAACCCGGTCTAGTCCGCTTTCAGTTAGTGACATAGTAGTATATCTCAGTGACATTGAACAATACTTGGATGTTTCTTTCTGGTGGATTTATGGATATTTCTAGATATACAGTAGTGGGGTTTTTGAGGCTTGTTGCTTTTATATGTTAATTTGTATAATTTGTGCAATATATACAATGTCTCTAGGCTTGATTCTCAACAGTTCATCCAATATATACATTGGCGACTACCAAATTATATCAACAAGGAACTTTTTTTTTTTCATTTTATCGTAGCCTTATTTGATACAGCAAATTCAAGAATAGAGCTCATAGTAATCACCAAAGGGACTTGCCACTGCAAAAACCTCGAAGCTAGAAGAGCAATGCACGTGCCAGCCAGACGCGTGACTGCTCGCGTTAATACACCTGGGCAGCTCACACTCCAATGGGAACAAGAGATCAAGCATCAAGAAATATGCTCCACATTGAAAGACATAAAAAGCCAACTTGTGAACAGAAAGATTCGCAAAAAAACACAAAAAACGACTCCAGACATGCCATAATCGCTCGAAACTGATGAAACGCTGATGGGGAATATGTATCACCAGGACTCGACAAAAGAAAAACTCACAGTGTAAGCGCATCAAAGCAAACCAAAAAACAAAGAGAGCAAAACACACCAGCTAGAAGATCTCCAAATCCTCAAACTCAACCACCAACCCATCCGCCGAACCCGCCGGCAGAGAGGTATCCAGCGTCATACCATGCATAGCATCCCACATAGTCCCACCACGAGCCAGACTCGTCGGCCGACTCGCATAAACCCCAACATGCACAAACTTATCCTCAACCCCATAAAAGAACCACGTCACCTCGCGCAACTTTTTCCACGAATTCCCCACCGCACCAGGCGACACAGCAAACGGCAACGCCGACGGAACCTGGTACCAAATCCACAGCGCATGGCCGACGCGCTCAAGCTTGATGCGCAGCGAGTGAATCGCTAATCCGGCTTGTGTCGACTGCGCCAGCGGCGACAAACACCAGTCCGCGCCATCTGCTGTCGCGCTCACGGACGACGCGTTCACAGTCCCCGACGAGAACTCCATTCCGGCTTTCACCCATTTGCAGGGTGAGCGTGTGCTGCGGAATCCGGGTGGTTCGTCGACTTCGGAGGAGAAGGATTGGGGTGCTGCGCCGGCGAATATCACTAGGCCGCCTTGGTCCCATTCCATTTCCCAGTCTGCGCTCACGGTCACTTCTGCTACGACGAAGGCGTGTCGGAGAGATGTGAAGACGATTGGGGCAGTAGAGGTTTCGCCGTTAGGGGGTTTGCGCCATAGGTCTGTGTTTGGACCCGCTCGAAGTGTGAAGTATTCCATGCATTGGGGTAGTTCGAATGTCGGTGGGAGGTTTAGGGCCGTGAAGGTTGAACCATCTGGAGGCATTTTTGATTTTCTTTTTGATTTTCTTTTTGATTTTTGATCTTGAATTGGGTTTCTCACGCGCTCTTAATAGGTGAAAGAGTAGGGAAATAATTGTAGAGTCACACTGTGTGGTTTTTCGAAAATAGGAACACCCTGGATGAGATGCGATTGATACTTTTAAACCCTCGGCAATGACCCTGGGATCATTTCTAAAGTTTTTAAGGAAGCGTACTAATCCGAGAAAAGCAAAGCATGCAAGATCTGAAGAGCAGAAAACCCAAGAATGGTTGGGATCGAGAATCGGGATATGCGGAGACGCCGAATGCGGGTTGCGCCAGAGCTGGGACCACCGAAAAAGCAAAAAGCAAAGAGAAAAGATGAAATAAATTATTATGGAACTAGATAGTATTTATGTTGTTGTCTGCCCCCTACTGGATTTCAGGGGATGATCTTCTCAGGTCCCGCTGGGGATGACCCTATGGAAGCAGACCCAGAGCACTGGAGACTTCGAACCAAACTGTTGGGCTCACGGAGGCGCTAGAGTCGTGTTCTTTATGGTCAATTTCTTTGAGGGCACTCGAGAAGCTTGCATCGATGAGCTGCGGGCCAGTTCATAAGTGGTGGTCACCATGCATCTGCGGAGGATCCATCACGATGTGACGGAGCTTCTGAGAGGAGAACCAAAGGTCCTTTATGCCCAAAGGACCCAAGGGGCATTAAAAAAAAACAAGGAATATGGCGAAATTGTGCAGTTGGGAATATTCATACTCCGTACATATTTTGGCAGAGAATTTATACTTCAAATTATCGAGGATCGATCGGAATAATGCAGGACGGATGAACTGGGTGGAACTTAGGTTCGGAGAGCTGAATATTGCCTAGGATGTTCCTTGGTCGGTGGTTTGACAGCTTATGGGGAAAAAAAATAGGCAATTGGGCTGTTTTATTTCTCTGCAGACTCAGCCACGCGAGTTTTTTCTCTCCGCTTATGCGATCTGCACGAGGCTGAAGAGGGTAATGAATGTTTCATGGGGAACCCTAGATGTGATAATAAGATATAAGATATACTATAAGATATGATATAAGAACTCTCTTCCCCCCCACACCTAACCTTCTCCCCTCTCTATACTCCGTACACCTTTATTATTTCACCTATTCTGGCCCTTCGTCTTTGTGTAAAATCTACAAATCAGCTGATATGTTTCTTTTTATAGACCGCCAAGGTTTTAGCTTGTGACTTTCTGAGTATTCCGTACTTTCGAAGTTAACGGTGTGTTGTCACCTTCGGGCGCAACTTAAGGGTCCTTCTCTGCCTAACGGCAAATACATTTTCATCGCCCTTTCTCCCTTTCTCCCCTTGAATTTCAATTTTCAAAGCCCCGCGCTAGCAAGCGCCCAGATACTCTGTAGCCGAACATGCACGGGGCGAAGTGCAGGTCCCCCAAAAGGGGGTCAAAACACGAGAACCCTCCAAAATCAACAGGGTAAATTTGACGGGTCTTGTGCCTCGCGAATGTTAAATAAGAGTCTTAGGCCAATTAACTCAGCCCCATAGACATCTTGGCTTCGTATTCGGGGACGTTAAGCCTCAATTTTAGCTAGTGTAGATTTGCTTCAGCCCCCCTAGTCTGTTGACTTAAAAGCTCTTCATTTCGTAAAGTGGAACGGGTACACTGCTAAAAATTTTCAAAGCTAAACATATCTTGCAAAAAGAATGGCACCTCGACGCGGCGGTGGAGGCTTTTCCTCGAGCTACTATGGTGACGATAATCCCTGGAGCGAAACAATCTGGTTGTCACTGGAAAACCTCCCGGACAAGGATTACTTTCTCGCCCAATTTGCCTTTGATATCCTCTCTCTGATCGCATTCATCATCTTCCTCATCTGGACATGTACAATCAGGAATCGCAGTCTCCCGCTGAAGGGAATCATTTGCGCCCTGACTTGCTTTATATGGTATGTGGCCAGAACTGAGCTAAAACAGACAATTTGCTAACTAGAAATTCAATTGTCAGCTCCCAAATAAACATCATAGTCACGGATTCCCTGTATATCGCCGAGGAGGAGGTGAAGATGTACTATGTGATCGACTATATGCTCCAGGGCTTCTTCTTGGTGATGGGAAACTGTATCACTTTCTACGTCTTCTGGAGCCTCATCCATCGCTTCCTGGGCCTTCTTACATCTTCCAGCAAGCCGCACGTGGCAGTGACAATCATCCATTATCTCCTCTTTGCTCTTATTTTCGTGGTCTCTCTTGCTCAAACCGCCTTGTATATCGCCTATTGGGTGGGAATCGTGACTGACAATTACGACCTTCTGATGCTGCACTATTCAGAGCTGACTGCTGCCATTCACATCATTTACTGGCTGCTGTCCATGGAGGTGATCGGTTGGACGATCTTCGTGATCAAGAAGGCTGGTAGCCATCATTTCGTGTCAAAGGTGAGTTTCAGCATAGCCCCTCCTATCCATAGCGCAAACCAACTAACCATTTTCAGATGCCCGCTAGCGCACTCGTCAACGCCGCCTTTTGCTGGTTCGCGGGGTGTCTCACCTGGGCCGTCATATACATTCACTACAGCCTAATGTCTGCCAGTTATTACCCGATATATCTGAACCTCGTCACTTCCATCATCCAGTTCATCTTCTGGGTCGGCACTTACACAGGTATTCTCTTGTGCTGTGCGAAATGGCACAGGCTCGGAGACGAGCAGAGCTATGCTGCGCCTCAGTACGAGGCGCAATATCCTCCCGCTCATATCCCGCAACAGAATATGACTCATGTCCCTGAGGGACAATATCCGTCGGTTCAACAGCAGCCATATGGATCTGCTCCTTACCAGGATTATTCGGCACAGCCTCACACTTACTCGCACCAAATCTCGCCTCATTAAGGTTGAAGTGAGGTCGGGTTCTGTTGAGATGTACTAGTTGATTTCCTCATGTGTTTGACGCGATTACCCTGTCTTTTGATATGAGAGTTTCCATGCACAGTTATACTCTATTTTAATGTGCCTTAATGTTCATACCCAAGGAACGATGCGAATGATAGTAATGCGACCCTTTTTGTATATAACATTGTATATAACATATTTCCAGTGAGCCTTAAATAATACAACAGAAACAATAGAAACACAATAATCCAAAAAAAGCCAGTCGTAAAACGCGAGGAAGCAAGTAGACAAAACCTCTTGGCAAGTCACCAGGCGGTGGCAAACAAACCCGCGACATCATCTTCATTTTCACCGGCCTCTCTCGATAACAACTTCATCTCACCTCTCTACAGCAAATCAAAATGGTCTGCTCAAAATGCCAAAAGAAACTCAAAGCCACCGAGCTCGCCACGCCCGGTGTCAAGAACAAGAACGACATGTACTACGGCTCGCCGTCTACTAAACTGGGTGGCGGTGCAGACAAGGGAAAGACGAAGGCGACGCTAGGCGCTACAGGGATCGGAAAGGTATGTTGCAAATCCCTCACTTCGATATTACATTGAATTGATATCTTGGATGAGTTTTGATACTGACGTCCCCTCCCAGAGCAAACTCCTCAGTGCAAAAGCGAAGAATCCTTATGCCGCTTATGCTTCGTCTTGTGATAACTGCAAGGTGAAGACGGAGCTGGGGAAGAAGTTTTGTCAGCGGTGCGCTTATCAGCGGAATGGTAGGTTGCTCTATTCTTTTCTCTAGGCTCGTTGCGAATGCTGACATCTGATACTAGCTTGTGCCATGTGCGGTAAGAATCTGGCGGGGAAGTCGGTCAAGGACCAGCCTATTGTCCAGGGACAGAAGTTCAATATGGCATGATGTGCTTTCAGGCTAGATCTGGGCGGTTGTACATTTTCTTTTCTATTTTGATTTATTCTCTACATGGCATGGCGTTTTCGGGAGCGTTGATGATACCGCGGAATTGAATATTAATATCAACATCAACATCGAATGAAATGAAATGAATTGATTTGACAGTGCAGGAAAATTCTAGTTATACATGGCATGCGCAATAAGAGTATATGCAATGCGTCACAAATGGTGCGCTATAGTATCGGAACAAGTATGCCTTTTCATCTCCATCTGAAGAACCTTGAACCTCGCGTTCTCCTCACCCAGCTCTAGCCCCTCAGCTGCTTCTAGGTATCCACCTCTTAACGGTCGGCCAGCATGTTCTTGATGTTGCTGTAGTATTGCGTGTTCAGGTATTGCGCGAGCTCCTCCTTGGCGAGCCACTTGAAGTCCTTGAGGTCCTGGGTGTTGACGGACAGATCGGCCTGGCCAGCCATCATACGAGACTTCAAGAAGAAGATCTTACTACCGGGGGCCTCGATCTCAGCCGTCTTCTTCGAGCGGCGCGGGTTGAAGGAGTGCCATCCGATTGGGTGGAAGCCGACCATCCAGGTGTTCATGTTGACACCGGCGGACTGGGAGAGGGTGCGCTCAGCAGCCTAGGGGAGAAATAGTACGTTAGTATAATTTCCAGACTCAATATAGTTCGAAAACAAGTATAGCACTCACCAAGCGAAGGGTCTCGCCCTCCTCAACCGGCGAGCTGGGGAACTTCCAGTGTCCCTCCTTAGACTGAACAAGGAGATAGAGAGTGCGGGAAAGCAAACGATCGAGACTCTTTTGGTCGTTCTTCTTGTCTGCCTCCGTGATCCGAGGGTAGGGCCGAGGGATTTCCTCCTTTTTGCTAGTATCTTGGGAAGTCGCATTGGCAGTGGATTCTGCGTCCTGGACAAGGGCCTCAACCTGGTGTGCAGGCTCAGACTCCTGTGCTCCTAGCAGGAGCTCGTCGTTCCAAGCATCGCTGTCGTACGCGTTGTAACTTCCGATATCACGCGCGGCAGTCCGGCGCTCCTGAATCTTTCTCTTCCAGTCTTCGTCGGCTGGTGTTCCACGCTTGAAGTAGAAATATTTCGTAAAGGGGAGGGCCAGACGCTCGTTCAGACGCTTCTGGTAGAAAAAGAACGCTTTCTCGAACGGTTCGAGTTCACGGGTGATTTGGGGAGGGCGGGAGAGGACGACACCCGCGTTGATGATGTAGGCTGGCTTCACGGCGGGATCGGCTGCTGTAGATGCGGAGGTCGATTCGATCGCTGGTGCTGCGGAGGAATAGCTGCGGCGGCCAAGGGTCTCTTTACAGCTTCTGCAGACGCCGGAGTCGATTATTGATGGCCCTGCGCGCGGAGTCAGTATTTGGACCTAACGAATTCGGGAAAAACATCAATTGGACATACGCAGTAGCGAGGCTACGCGCCGTGCACCATTAGATCCTGACGACATGTTCAAGGGTGGAATGGCAATGTGTTTGGGGCTGATCGGTGTCTTGTCCCCGAGAAAAAGATCCAACCAGGTCACGTTGTCGCCAGGCCCAATTGGGCTTAGTCACCGCCCGGGGTGTTTAAATAGCGAAAACCCAACTTATGTTTTCTTCTCTTCTCCAAGCATCTCTTATCATCACTGCGTCCAGTATCTACGGCCGGTTGATCATTTAAAGGTGCTCAGATTGAGCTCAACTGAGGTCGCGGCCAATTTTCGCTAGCGGTACCTTCTTTAAAAAAATCAAGGCGTACTGTTAGATAGCTGTCGCGGACATCCCTAATTTAGTCTTATAATATATGTGCTTCGATAAAAATCGAGTTTCATTTTTTTCATTTTTTTGCAATTCTTTTCCTCTCTATCTTCCCATCTCTTCTCGGTCTCTTCCAAACCGTAAATCACCACCTGCCCTCAAATATCCAAGAGCAGATCTTCCTGCTCTGGCACCTGCTTTCCGAGCTGCAACATCCTCTCCTGTGTACCGAACACCCGCAGTATGTTCCCGTAGATATCCCAGAAGGGATCCCCGAGACGCGGCAGTAATTTGCCCTGGCTGGCTAGGCGAGCTATATGCCCGGAACCAGTGTTGGCTAGGGATGTGCCAGCTCGAGCAATCTGAGTTGGATGAATCATCGGAATGGTCTCAGTATCCACGTCAAAGAAGTTGCTGAATTCACTTCCTGGAACAGTCTGGTTGCTAGGCTGTGCCATAATACCGGCAACCAAACTGGGCGTTGTGGTGTGTAGCCGGGATCTGACAGTCGGCTGGGAAGGGCTGCGCTGTATCTCGCCTGCCAGTTTGATGAAGGCCATGGCGGCAAGCATGCTATCGTATCCTGCCTCGTGAGTACGCTTACGGAACTTGTACTTCGGAAAGCGAGGGTCGATCTCTGCGGGATGGTTAGTTATGCTTGCTTGCTGTCAATGATATAACTCATGACCTACCTATCTTGGGGCTTTCTATTCCAGCCAAAGTCGTGTTGAGTTCTTCGAGCGAAGACATGGGGTTTAGAGAGCCGCAGTCATGAGTGGCAATGTACTTGGTGTCAGCTACCATGGGGAATACCTCGTGGATGACGGTCTGGAACTCGGCGAGGGTATTCGGCAACGGGCCCAGGAAACACCTGTAGAAGAAGAGCAGATCGCAGAAAATGTTGTGGCCAACTAGAACCGGTCTGTTCTCCTTGAGCCGGTTCTTCACTTTGTCTGCCAACTGCTGGATTCCGAAAGCTGGCTGCTCGATTATCTTCATCAGAGGATGGAAAGCGTCCGATTCAAGTTCTACCAGGCTTCCACCCACAAGTGCTTCTGCGATCCAGCGGAACCCGACATGCTTCCGGACTCGTTCCTTTTTGACCTTCAATTTCGCACCAATGGTAGATTGCTCATTGCACGGGTCCCGCAAAAGGATTTGGACGAACGTTGACGCACCTCGCGACGTTAGGTTGGGGTATTCGTCGCTGATAAGGTGGTGTATCAGCCATTTCTGCATACTGCTCAGCCCGGTAGGCATGGGGCCCGGAATAATCTGCAGACTGCTGGGTGGTGGGATGTTGAGCCAGTCACGGCGTTTCTATACATGTGAATTGAGTTGCTCAAAATGGACATTTGCTATAGCATCTTACCTCGCCCTGTGCCAGCCACTCATTGATACTGATCCGAACGGCTTCAAGGAACTGCAGAGATTCATGGTCGTCTTTTTTAATATCTGCAACCCGGACAACATTCCGCGATTGACATTTCTCCGTAGCTCTTTTGATCGCCAGTTTTTCTTCCTCTCGAGACAGGTAGTGGACACCGAAGGAGCACATATGATCAATGCTGAAGTCATTCGCGAGCAAGAATTCCATCGCTGGCCAGGAAGGTATTAGTAGTATGCTCAACATTCGTCGTAGATATCGGACATACAGCGGCTTCCGAATGTCCAGTCCCGATTCACATCCATCTCATGCTGGGTGATTGGGCTCAGATTTATGTTGTATGGTTTCAGAATGTAGGTGGCTGTAGATAGTTAGCGAGACATGTCTTGAATTGTGATTAATTGCGTACCATTTTCCTTGTCTTCATGACATGTTGTCAGCCCAACTTGGAGAATCTGGTACCGCTCTGCGGCCGCCTTGGCTTCCACGTATCGCTCCTGCATAGTTTGGGGCCGGAACTGCGGACTACTTGGTTTAAAAACCACCCCAGACAGCTCGAAGTCTATGGACACGAAGCAGCTGGTGGCGATGTCGTTGAGGATGGAGGGGAGACAATCGGGGAAGGTGACAGCTGTAACATCCATCTTGGTTCGAAGTTGGGAACAGCGTCAAAGTATGAGCTTGGTGAATGAATATTAGAGGCGAAAGGGAGAGAGTTGTTGATTGGCTTTGTTGGGGTCTTGATTGCTGAAAACCGATTGATGCAGACGTGAAAGGAGAGTACGCTTTGGGAAGGTAAGTATCCGAGTTTCATTGACGAGAAAGAGGCATGCCCTCAATTTGTCGAAAAGGCGAGATGATCTGATGTAAAACTGAGAGCTTGAATGTTTGCTCGTCTACTTGGCCGTATATCAAGTCTCATAGATCAGGGTTGTGATAGGAAGGAAGTAAGAAGGAAAAGAGTTGGAAGAAATAGTGACACAATGCAAGATCTCGAAGCATTCAAATACTGCATTTATAAAGCTTTGGAGAATCACCATCTGAAATGGAATTTACATGGATGTTATAGCAAGTAAGCGCGCTTTCGACTGCATAGCTACATTTTATCAATAATTTCTGTTAAAATACGTTCTGTATTGCTTCAGAGATGTAATATACAGCTTCAGAAGTAAGATCTATATTAGCCATGGGAGTCATCTCAGTCGGGGGCGTATAAATGACCGAGCCCTGGTGATGTTGTTTATTGTTCCAATTGTCCAATTAGAACGAAACTAGAGGCTGTTACTGCTACTCTCGTAAATCCAGCCTGCGATGCATTAACCGAAACATTTGGGAGAGTGGCCTAGAGTAATCAATTCTCAGGGCGAAGCACCTCTTCTCAAAGTTGTCTAGGGACCAATGTAAGATGAATGTATAAAAAGTAGAAGAGTAGACTGGCTTAGATATCACGGGTAGATACTCACAGGCCAGTCCCGTGACCGACCCCGGACTTGGATGAGCCGAGGGAAAACGAAAGCCGACCCCGACACGCTGCACTTGGCTTCACTTGAATGGTTTCCCTTTTATAATTACTCCTTTAACTCCTTATAAAGCAAATTAATATTGCTTTTTGTTTGATACGGCCTCCGCAATGGCCAACGGATCCCCCATGTTGTCTCACTCTGACGCCCGCTCTTCATCCTCGGCCTCCCCCACAAAGCTGTGCTCCAAGACATACAAGAAAGCCTCCCAACTTTACCTCACAAGACGCTTACCAGAAGCCCTCGCAAACCTCCAACCGATTATTAAACCTTCAGTACCACAAGAAGACCAGCACACAAATGGCGACAACTCAACACCGGTTGCGCCGATCGCCACAGCCGCCGGCACGTGGAGGATCAAGGTGTGGAACCTCTACATCACCCTCCTCAGCGCAATAGTCGATCTCGGTGCAGAGGAGGGAAAGAAGCAATTTGGGCAGAAGGAGTGGAAAGCAATTGCCTCGCAAGTCCGAGAAGGTGCAATTTGGGAGACCGTGGTCGAGGTCGGGTACCAAGGCCACGAGGGTTCGGTGGATGCCGAAGTGGTCTATAATCTGTTAGTATTCGACTTCACCCACATTGACCCAAATTGATGTACTAACAATGCAATGATAGTGCTACCCTACTTCTAACCCAATGTTCTTCGCAATCCCTGAACCAACAGCGCCTTGAGACCTATCTCTCCTCCTATGGACAACCCAACCTCGACCTTACGGATCGTCTCCAGGATGCATCCGATGATTACGAGCAGCGTCCTCTGCGTACGACAAGCGGAGCCGATACCCCGAAAGATCTAACTTCCCGAGTGAAGATCATCGAGCTCTTTACTTTGCACGTCCTCCCCCGTAACGATGAGTGGGAATACTCGACCGAATTCATCAATTTGAGCGAAGTCCTCGACGAAGAACGCAAAGATCTCTTCCTACAGACCCTCGAGGGTTTGAAGGAAGAGAAGGAGCGGGGCGAAATGCGTGCCGTCGAATTACAGCAGGCCAAAGATGCTGAGCTTGAACGGGAACGAGAGGATGAACGTCGCGAAGCCGAAGAAGCAGCGGCAGCCGCTGCACGACTACAATCCAATGGGCATAAACGCAATCCCAGTGAGGTCGACTACGGAATTGAGAAAAGCCGCTCACATGGTTCTCCCAAAGGCAAAGGAGCCAGGCAATCGACAGACAAGTCGCCGAATGGCAAGCCACGAACTTCTCTCTCATCGTCCGGCTCCAAAAATTCCAAGAAGCAGGACAAGGTTGAACCTCGGGGCCGCTCAACTCGGACTGTGGCCACTGGATTGCGCAACCTCTTCCGTCACATTATCCGGACTGTGTCTGGGAATCCCATGTCAATAGTGCGTACCCTACTTTTCGTTATTGGCATTTTGATGGCGATGAGCCGGCAGGGTGTGCGTGATCGCATCCAACGGGTTACGGACGGCGCTTGGCAGAAGGTCAAAGCTACGGCCGGAATGGGAGTAAAAGTGAGCTATATTTGAGATATAGGCTACTTTGGTCTCTACGCACATTGCATGGTTATCATGTACATTTTTCTTGATCAAGTTGGCACCTCCGGGGTTCATCGGGGTTATTTTTGCATACATTTTTCTTTTGTGATTCCCTTTGTGATTCTCTATGTTCATGTATTCTATTCATACATACCAAATTGCCACCAGGTGTGGTTGAATTTACTCTTATCCAAATTCGATTTTCCGTTCGTTTCAGCCAGCAATTTCAAAGACAACCCTCGTTAAGTGCTTTGGCTTATTGTCCATTACGTTCATTCCATTGCCGATCAAATACAGTAAGAGATCGCTGGGCTGTGGAGCATTATCATTAGCTTGTTTTCTACTCAAGATATCCAATCTATCCTAAGATAGGAGACTTGAAAACTCACCTGAAGGAACAACATCCAGGGCCTTGATAGAGACATTGAGAGGCTGACTGAGCATATAAACAGCAGCCTCAGCAACATCATTTGCAATAAGCGGCCTAACAACACGACCATCAGCAATCTCCTCGACCGGATACAGTAACCGGCAAAGTAGAAACTTACGTGTATCCTTCCAAGAACTCATCATATTGTGACTGGTCATGCCCAATCCTTTGAGCATGGAAATGTCCCGCAACAACACCAGGCCTCAACGCCAACACCCGGATATTAGTCCCGCTCAACTCATTCCGTAAGGAATTAGTGAAGGCCTCTTGCGCTGCTTTGTTGGAATGGTAGACTGCTTCGCCTGTAAAAGGAGGAACTTCTAGGCCTGTGACAGAGGTGACGTTTATGATCGTGCCTGCTTTGCGCGAAAGCATACTGCGGTTTAGCACAGAGTGAGCTACGTACATTGGGCCGTTGACGTTGGTTGAGATCATTGTTTGAATGTCTGATATTTTGAGGTTGTGAAAGGCGCTGGGTGCACCGAGGGCGAGACCGGCCTTGGGATTTGTTAGTGGATGTCTATAAGAGAGGTTGATCGAGGATTTAGATTTTGAGCGTACGTTGTTGATGAGGATGTCGATGCCACCAAGTTCTTTAACTGATGAATCGACAGCTGCATCGACTTCGTCATAGTTTCCTACATCCGCAGTTTGGTAGATAACTTTGATCTGAGGGTATTGCTTGCTTAACTCGTCTGTGAGTTTGGCTAGTTTGTCCTGGGTACCATGTATGTCAGTTTCTATGTTCGAGGATCCTTGATGGACACTGAGATATGATGTTTACCTCGGAGCGAGAGAGAAGAACCAAGTTTGCCCCGGCTTTGGCTAGAGCCCTTGCTGTTGCTTCACCGATGCCCATCGAGGCCCCGGTCTATAGAAGTAGATTTAATATAAGAATTTTTTTGTGATGCTGGGCAGTCCACTTACAATGAGGGCAGTTTGTCCACTTAGAGCCATTTTGACGTATGTAACTATATCGAGGCAAGCCTTTGGAGGATAAAGCAACGGTAGAAATAGGGTTTATATGTTGTAGAACTTCGACAACTTCATCTCGGATTACAAATCATGTACGCTGCAAGTGGACGTCATCCGGAGGGACTTCGGGGAGTATACTGGACCCACTTCACCTTTTTTGGGCACCTATTGTCACTGATCGATATCATATCACTCTGCCGATCATGCTCTATGGCCGTAAGCATAAGGGTTTAGGTGAATTGGCAGCTGGACCTAGGAGTTGCCCTGGGTTTGGCTATTCAGAAATTGACTTCGGTGGCATAAATTATGTATCGTTGCCAAAAGTAAGAAAAAAGATTTCAAGACTCGGTCTAAAGAGCAGTCTATGCCACAGAGGAATAAAAACCAAACAATCGATTCTAAACGGGTATCAAACAGTCATATGCTCATGACCACGTCCAGCGTGATCTCCACGTGTGTCCTCAGCCATACCAATCTCACCATCATCACCCGTACGGTCATCTATATCCTCTTTCTCGACGATTCTAGCATGCCACCACCGAAACAACTGAACGAAGAAATGCGCCACGCAGATCTGCTCCGTAGTATAAAGCAATACCGGCACCGATGTCTTTGCTTTTAGGAATAGATCAACCGGTTGCCACATTGCGTAGAGCAGCGGGATACCGAGTGCGGTGCTCTTCGCTGGTCCGCAAAAGCACACTGCAATAGTTTCCTCCGGAGACATGCGTTTGAATATGGGCTTAGACCAGCGCCGGGAGCTGAAAATGCGCGGTGGTCTGGAGCAGAAGAAGCATACTGCCGTTAGGGTGATGTAGAGTATGATGTTGAATAGGACCACGAAGACTATGCTCTGCGCAGAAAGTGTTTGGAGGGCTCCTGTTGCGAAGCAGGAAGAAAATGTGGCCCTGAGATTTAGGAATGCTTGGTTAGAAAAGTGAAAAACAATAAATAGCGCCAACGCTTTCTACAGGAAGCTCGCTGTACTCACCAAATCAACAATAACAAGCAGCAAGTAGCCAGCTTAGGCAGCTTGGTCCTCTGCAGGACCCACGCAGTTCGATCAGGCCAAGTCCACCTCACTAGCTGCCCAGCAAACAGCGGCAGCAACACACTGAGCCCCAGTTGCTGAAAAACCTCTTTATACATACTCCCCAAATCCCCACCCCCATACCGCCAGGGATCAAACTCCACCCTCTTCGGCATCAACGCAATAGT